TTTTGAGTAATTCAGAGAACTGGCAAATACCACCTCTGACTGGAGATTTTACAGTATCCTTCCCCTGCCACGCCCACCAACCTCATCCACAGAACCGGTAGAAAAAAAAATTGAATCCCACCACTGGATTAAACATTTTCAAAAGAGGCTCAAAGATTAGAGTACATCAATAGGATTGGAATGTTCTCTATTGCTGAAATGAAGAATGCTGAGAAGCTATCAAAAATTCCTTCCTTGATATTCTTTCTCTCTTTGAACTTTATTTCAAAATCAGTAATGTTTTCTGGTCTCTAATATCACACTGGGACAAAAAGAAACTGTGCGTCCAGCAAAATCTAATTCACACTTTGCCTCACTAATGAAGTGACTATAAGTTTCCACATGAGCTACCAAGGTGATAAAGTTCACTCTCATTATTGTCATCATTTCCCTGTAATTTAGGGGAACTCCGGTATTACTAATTACACTCAAGATACATATGAACATATTTCTCTCAGTGTACAATAGTGCTGGTCAATCTGACCTCACCTGTTATTTATAATTTCAATTACAATCAATACAAAGATAAACCATTTTGAGAGGGGAGCAGGACAGGAACCTGTGAAATAAGTGGACCACAGAGTAATCAAAGTGGAACTCCCATAGAATAACGGAGTTGGAAGGGACCTTGGAGGTCTTCTAGTCCAACCCTCTGCTCAAGCAAGAAATATATACCATTCAGACAAATGGTTGTCTAATCGTTTCTTAAAAACCTCCAGTGTTGGAGTACCCATAACTTCTGCAGGCAAGTCATTCCACTGATGAATTGTTCTATTAGGAAATTTCTCCTTAGTTCAAGGTTGGTTCTCTCCTTGCTTAGTTTCCAAATATCTAAATTATTTGTGGATGAAAAAGCAAGGCTTATATATTGCAACAAGGAATCTGATCACAAGAATGGAAACATGGGGACAACATACAAAGCACATAGTAAACAACTGTACTTGTAACTTGTAGTAATATAACTAATCTGGAGATAGGCACACAAATGTTACATTAAGGAGGACCAGCTCTGGGTAGGAGAGGCAGAGCAACTGTTTTTTAAAATGTCAATTTTCACTGGTAAATTAGAACGAATTCTCATACTCCATTTTATTAGAGAATTGGGATGATTGGGGAATTCTGGGACTTGAAATCTACACATCTTAAAGTTACCAAGTTTGAAAACACTGTTTTAGATAGAAATAAATTCATTCGTAACAACAGTTCTTAAAACTTGCAGCCATCACTCCAATTTCTTACATTGGCTTGCTATAGATTATGGAAATTATGTGATAGCATATCTTATATCTGTATGTATTGTGCATTATATTTCAAGCATCCTAAGAATAAATGCAGTAAAGAGGGGGAAAAATGTAATAAATCAGAGTTGGAAGGGACCTTATAGGTCATCTAGTCCAACCCCTGCCCAAGCAGGAAACCCTACATCATTTCTGACAAATGGCAGTCCAATCTCTTCTTGAAGGTCTCAAGTGATGGTGCTCCCACAACTTCCAAGGGCAAGCTGTTCCATTGGTTGAATGTTCTGTCAGAAAGTTTCTCCTTATTTCCAGGTTTGAATCTCTCCTTGTTCAGCTTCCATCCATTATTCCTTGTCTGGCCTTGAATGCTTTAGAAAATAGCTTGACCCCTTTCTCTCTATGGCAGCCCCTCAAATATTGGAAGACTGCTACCATGTCTCCTCTGGATTCTTAATTGGATATTAATTCTTAATACATCCCCACTTCAAGAAGCTTAGGAAAGGTGATACATTATTCTGTTGTTTTAATCTCATGACCGTGCTGCAAAGTAGGTTCAGTTGAGAGACTTACCATGAAACTCTGAGCCCTAGATCTTTAACTCCTAATTTTAGAAATTCAGTAACCATACAACTGGATTCATGATTTCAACTAGACTACTGACTCTCTGGTACTGTCTACTGAAACAAGGATAAAGAACTTACATTCCTCCAGATATTGTATTACAACTCCCAACAACTTCAGCTAATGTGGCTATGGTGAGAGATGCTGAAAGGCTACATCTGGACAGCAATACCTTTTTCACTGCTGCACCAGAAAGCCAACCCAGACAACAAACAGCATACCAAAGAAGATCAGGATGTTTACTAAATTGTACTAGCTGTTGATGGAAGAGAACTTACTCAAGATTTATTTTAGCTCATTGTTTTGCTGCAAGAAGTGTCATAACAGTGGGAAAGTAATATGGAAAAGGTTACACTTCAAAACAAAGAATATAGATTAAACTAATTTCTGACCATGATAAGTAAATTTCGTATCTTGTAGCACCCTCTTCTGGAAATTACCAGATATACAGTAGTAGGAACAGCCTTCTCCATAGCTTTGTTTGTATTTGGAGCACAGAACTCAAAATCGCTGCTGATCTGATAATACTGGCTAAATTATCTGACTCAGCATAAGGCAGCTTCCTATGAAAAAAATACAAATCTAGGCAAAGTGTTTTCTAATTACCTCATGTTTGGACTGTGAAATTTGTCGAGTTATTACTATGTGTGCTCTATGACAGTTAGTATAATGCTAAGATTTAAAGTTATTTTTCCTTTAAAAAAGAGGAATTCTTAAAAACACCAGGACTACTTCAAAAAATCTTTATAATTGTATGATAATATAAATAAATATATAAAGGTAGTTGTTATTACCACAATTGAGCCCAAAATTTCTGTTGTTAAATGAGACATTTGTTCAGTGAGTTTTGTCCCATTTTACAACCTTTCTTGTTACAGTTTCACATGCACAGAATCACTGCACGTGTTAAATTAGTAACACAGTTATTAAGTGAATCCAGCTTCTCCATTGACTTTGCTTGTCAGAAGGTTGCAAAGGGTGATCACATGATCCAGGACACTGCAACCGTCATAAATATGAGTCAGTTGCGAAGTGTCTGAATTTTAATCATGCAACCATGAGGATGCCACAATAGTCATAAGTATGAAAAATGGTCATAAGTCACTTTTTTCAGTGCCGTTGTAACTTTAAATGATCAGTAAATAAAGTGTTGTAAGTCAAGGACCACCGATATACAGAAAGTAGAATTCTGGCAGATTTATTTAATACTTTACCTGAAAAGGCTGTTAAGGTATTTTAAAGTATACCTGGATTCATTTTGCCTTTTTTACAAGTACTTTTAGACAATAGTCAAATCATGAACTGAAATGTTCTTAATATATTTAGGCTAAACAATTCTTTCTTCTTTGCTATATTCTCTGCTTGAGAGGTAGGATATTTGTGTCTCAGAAGCTGATTCAATTTTATTGAGCTTACTGCAAGGTAAGGCCGGGTCTTTTTGTAACTGTCTCATTCTGTTGCAAGAGAATTTACTTATGAAACTTCTAAGAAAAATAAGAGAATTCTGATGAAATTCTCAGGGATGATGTTCTTGCATGTCTTAGAGGCCCAGCCTGTGTGTCTGTATGTGCTTTTTTTTTGTACAATCATATTTCCAGAATCATAATGAATAGGTTGGTCTTTGATATAGTTCTCTTGATTTCTCTGGTTTTAATAATGTACAACAGAAAACTACGACCTAGAACTAAAGAGGCTTCTTGGATGAGAAGCGAAATGTCTTCAAGAAAAAACAAAGTACAATTGCCTTTTGAAAAAGCATCTTTGGCACAACCATGACATGAATGTTTGAGAATCTCCACAGACATGCAACCTAGCAGTAACAGTCTTTATTTTCAATAATAAAGTAACCTAAAATTGCTAAAATAAATTAAGAACAATTTTTCAGAGATGCTTAATTATGGGAGAAAAGCAAAAGCCCTTTTACAGAAGAAGTTTTTTGAGAAACTACATGGCAATTCGAAAAAGCATTGGGTAAAATTGTCATAGTAATAAAAACTGAATAGCAATATTGTTCTATATTTAAAATATCACAAGGTAAGTTTTGTAAAGAACAAGCCAAGTTTTCCATATGTACTTTTACAGCACCTGTGTACAGCAAATTTGGGCAAAACTAATGCACGCCCTATAAGCAATATTTAATTAACCATATTTTAATTTACTGTAAGTATACACATTAATAGGCTTGTTAGAAAACAAATTCTCAATACATCCATATACAGTAAACAAACATGTGTTGGAACTTGTATGTTGTGAATCAACTGTTTGCCTATATTGCATCATTCCCAAGTGTTTGGGGAAAGAATATGTTTCCTAACATTTGTAAAAAAAAAATGGAATGAAAGGTACCACAGGAAATTGACAAATTTAAAAAAAAACCAATTTCAACTGTAAATAGGATTAGTGACAATCATATTTATCCATGTAAGTACATTAAATGTTGCCAATTTCCTTATCGTGCAGCGAAGCAAAACAGGGTAGAATTGGTTCGGAATTCTGCCCTTGATATCAAATGCCATCATCTACTTATGGTGCCTCACTTTCTAGAGATGTAATTATTTATTTGGATTATTTCTATATGACCTGATCATGTCGATGTCAGGTGATGTACAGAAAAAACTATCAATAACAAACAATATTTAAAAGAACCAACATATTAAATAACTCCCCTCCCCGATAAGTATTTTTAAAAATCATTGGATGTTCCTTGATAGAAGCTGAAAGCTTCTTTGATTTTTTTAAAAGTAGTTTTAATGCTTTTTGAAACCCCAGAAGTGAAGGGGCCAAAGGAATCTGGTGAGATCAATATGTTCCACAATGGGGGAACTAGTATCAAGACCACCTTCCTTGTGGCTTACACATCTTTTATCTCATTTGAGGTTTGGACCTTGAACAAATCTTATCTGGACATTTAGAAAAGAAAGAATCATAATGATGTAATTCAGGGCCATACCATATAGGACTTTACAGTATTCTAAATTGGTTCTGGAAGCCCATTGATTGCCAGTGCAATTATTATTCTGCAATGGCCATTTTCACAGCAATCTGCCTCTGTATCACAAGATATATCGCTGGGTACCTATATATTTAATTATTCATTCTTACCTGTAGAAAAGATGAGAATGGTATTATTCCAAAGGCCATATCTCTTCAAGGCTGAAGTGATATTTCCTACAGCTTCATCCATTATAGAAACCATTCCAGCATATTTGCGTCTCTTTTCATCTTTGATAAAAGAATATGGTTCTATGTATTTTTCAGGCACTTGAAGGGGCTCATGGACAGATTGCAAGGCAAAGTAAAGAAATAATGGCTATAACACAAACATACACATGACCAAAAAGAAAAAAGAAAAAAAAGAAACCATAGCATTAAATAAAACCATCAGAAGAACAAATGATAACATTTTCATCTATGTATACATCTTGAGCTTTGTTTTCCATGTCTGTGAAGTTCTGATAATGAGCATAATCTCATTATTTTCAAATAATCTCATTATGATTAATCAAACTTTTGATTAGTTTTAAAAAACTTTAAAACATTTACAATATAGAGAATATAGCAGCTGAGTTAGAGTTCTGTTTGTTACAGAAATATGTTTAGGAGCCAAAGACACTGACAAACATTTACAATAAGGTGAGACGAGTTGAAATACAGTTGGCCATGGTTCCATAATTTCCCACATGATTTCATCCCTTCATTTTAGTTTTTGCAAAAGTTTCTACCCGCAATTTAGAATCCAGATTACCCAGGATTCAAAATGATATAAACCCTATTATGTAAGCTATGACAAAGGTGAGGATGATAGGAGAGAAACAGAAGCTCACAGATATGTAACTAGATATGTTCCCCAAACCCCAAAAACCTTAACCTTAGACTGTCTACTATTGACCTCACCCCTTTCTTAAGAGGTCTGTAGGGGGCGTGCATAAGCGCATCAACGTGCCTACCGTCCCTGTCCTATATATTCTTTTATTTTTTCTTATATGTACCCATTTCATGTATTCATAACTATGTATATACTTATACCTATTATCTTGTAAGCAATTGACAAATCAAATAAATAAATAAAAATAAAAAATAAACACATGACCCCATTGTGTCTTTCACCATGATTAGTATAGGTGAACCCAGTTAATTGTGGCTCAGCTATGAAACATAATTAAATAAATCATGCTTTAGCATAGGAACCAGAAATATAGAATCAACAGATGCCATGTCAACTGCGTATCTCCAGATAGCATTCAGAAACCTTAAATAATAAAATTCATATTTATTTTTAAATTATTCACAATCATGCATGATTGCCTCAAATCTCATGAGATATTATTGTTCCCATTTAAAGTCTTTCGGATTTGAAGAATGAATCCCCCAAATACTTAACATTTTTGCCATTTTGAATTATTTATTTACTTCAACCTATATATAAAACTGTATAAGAGCAGTTCATGCTTGACACAACTGATGACACCTCACAGTGCAATGGAATAACCCAGACTATTATTTTTCTTGGAAACAATGTATGTTTAAATAAGGAACCTATCCATACAGATAGTCCATCTGCTTTTGCTTACAACAACTTGTTCAGGGACATTCAAATATTTAACTGTGTTGAAAAATGTATGTAAAATGTATGACCAAAAAATATAATTATACCTTCTCAGTCTGATGACTTGCTATAAGATCAAGAGCTCTTTTTGTAAATATGTTAGTAGAATACATAGTTTTAAATCCCTCGGCAATTTTTTCTCCATCTCGAAAATCAAGAGCACATCTGGTTACATTTTTAGACACAATAGGCACACAGCGCTCATGAGAATAATAATCTTCACTTCCAAGAAGATAGCCTAAAACAAGGAATGATCAATTATAGTATAATTTCAGAAGGCAAATCTGCAGAAATGCCCTAAAACTAAAAAAAAAAAAAAACCTTCTCAGATTTTTTTAAAATAAGTAAATAAACTCTATCACTTATTTGGCAATGTACTCCATCCTCTATTTAAAAAAGTATAAATAAGTACATTATGTAAAATTATTAAAAGCAATGCAGTAATATATTAAGTGGTTTAATATATCAGAAATATTGATATCGAAATTATAGAATGTTGTAGGCAAGAACAGCTGTTTTTGTTTTGAAATTTACAGAATAAACTGAATCAGGCTTGCAGCAACAGCTGCTCATACAACTTTTGTGCTACTTATATTCATGTTCTCCAGGCAAGTTTTTAAAAATCTGATCTACTACTGACACCAACTGGTGACTTAAGAGACTCAGAATAACGAATTACCACTATCAAATAAGGAAAAATATTTTTCTCTTACTACTGGAATATTATGAATCCTTGAAACTAATAAATGCATCGATTAGCAATTTTTGCACAGAATGATAAACTCTGTCTCTCAGAATATTTTCAATAGACTTCTCCAGCTTTGAGACAATATTAAAGTAATTAGAGTATGCATATAGCTTTCACGTCCAGTTCTTCTCTGAATCTGCCATCAACAAAGCTGAAGATCGTTGCGCAGTAAACTTACATTATATTAGAAACTGAAACCTCTACAGAAATGATTGCGGTATTACCTAATTTTCCCAACTTACTTTGCTTCAAATGTTTTGAAATTGCAACTCCCAAAAGAGCAAAGTATTTGGAGAGTTTCAAGGCTGGAGAACATTGATGCCTCTCTTCATAAATCGACACAAGTGTTCAACATGCCCAACATATCAATTATGATAGAATTTCTTTATGAATTCATATGCCGATTCATTTAGGCTTATCGACAACCAGCAAAGAATATATCTGAATAACAGGCAAAAGAAATGCATTTTATAATTGTACATAGTGTATATTTGTTTCACTTTTGTGCACTCCGCTACTTGTTTAAAATTTGAAAGGCTTCATTCTTTGTGTCTTGATTACCCAGTTCAAAAGAATCTTCTACCCGAGGTTCACTCATCGCTAAGTTTCCATTTCATTTGTGTGGTTTTGCCTTGATGCATTCAGTGAACCTGGACACCAGAGTTCGAAGCCTATGGAGTTTGCCTTAGCCTATAACTGATCTCAGGCAATTATAACTTGGTCAATAATAAAAGAAATCATGACTTGGCTTACCAGTCCGGGCTATTGGAAATGATAGAACATTCTTAGCATACAGCGTAAAGAAAGAATGAAAATAGATTAGCTTACCAAAGTAAGTATCAAACCCTCTACGGGTAGGAAGACATTCTTTTCTGTACATTCCAATATGCCACTTCCCCACCATGTGAGTAACATAACCGGCTTCTTTAAGCAGTTCAGGCAGGAGTTTTTCATCCAGTGGGACACAGCTTGGCTGACAAGGCCAAATTATTTGATGCTGTAAACCTGTATGGATCTAATGAAAAGAAATGTGCCTTAACAATGTAATGTTACATTAGTTCCCATGTAACATTAGGAAGATTAGCCAGTTCTATCTACAGCAGTGTTCCTCAACTTTGACAATTTGAAGAGGTGTGGAGCTCACAGAATTCCCTAGCCAGCAATATATTGCTGGCTGGGAAATTCCGAGAATTGTAGTCCATACCTCTTCAACAGGTGGAGTCCTCGACTTATAATCACACTGAGCCCAAAATTTATGTTGCTAAGTGAGACATAATTTGTTAAGTGAATTTTGCCCCATTTTATGATCTTTCTTGCCACAGTTATTAAGTGGATCGCTGTAGTTGTTAAATTGGTAACAGGCAGGGGTGGGATGCTACCGGTTCAGCCCAGCTCTATAGAACCGGTAGCTCTGAAGAGCAGCAGACACTGAACCGGTTCTGTGTCTGCTGCTGTTTGGCCCACCCACCCACCTAGGCTCTTACCTGACCTTTATTTCCTGCATTTTTCAACCTCAGCTGCTTTGCGTGGCACAGCTGAGGTTGAAAAAGCATTAAAAAGGTGCTTTTTGAAATGCTGCGCACCTGCACGCAGCGCTTATCAGCTGTCTGGGTGGCACAGCTTAATTGCTATTTTACACACACACACAGCACGCAAAACATTACACCGAACCGATAGTAACACCAGTTGAATCCCACTCCTGGTAACAGGGCTTTTAAGTGAACCTGGCTTCCCCATCGATCCACTTGCCAGTAACCATCCTAAATATGAATAACTTGCCAAGAGACCGTGCCTATAGGGATGCTGCATTGATTGTGAAAAACAGTCATAACTCAACTTACAACAGTTCATTCAAAGTTGCAATGGTACTGGAAAAAATGAGTTAATTTTTCCTGTACCATTGCAACTTTGAATGAACTGTTGTAAGTCAAGTTCTAGCAGTATTTGTCTAGAGCGGGGGTGTCAAACACGACACATTGTCATCATGTGACATATTGTGACTTTCCCCCCTTTGCTAAACTGGGGGAGGGCGTGGCCAGTGGGTGACGCATCCAACCCATGGGCCACGAGTTTGACACCCCTGGTCTATAGTGACATATGTTTATCAGAAGACAAATCTGAATATTGGAAAAACCAATCACGACAACTTTAAGTATAATCAAATAAAGAAATATATGAAGATAAAGAATAGTTTGCATGATGTATCCGTAAGAAAACACTTAAACATAGTTAGCTTGCATTTATAGGACATCTGTATTTTGATTTTAAATAAAAGGCAGCCAAGCTCAGAACTGCCACTTCCTTATTTCAAGATTAGGTACACTTATCTGATTACAGAAAATGTTTGAAATTGACTCATCAACTCTGTCTTCTTCTTTTTAATAAATCCCTACCTATCCTTATCTTAAAGCTGGGGAGGGGAGAGGCAGAAGGAAAGTATAATGGAAACTCAGCTAGAGGAGCTTACATTTTATGTACACTAAAGATACAACAACAGATCTTCACTGGGGCCACAAGAAGCATCCTCCTTTAATTATTCAAATCTTGAGAAATCCCAAGGTTCACTCATGAATGCTGAGTCTTTGTGAAATCTTATGAGAGAATACAGGTCTTAAGACCATTCATTTAATGACCATTCAAAGTTAATACAAAACTAAAAAACGTACTTACAACTAGACCTTGCACTTACAACTGCTGCAACATGATCAAGAGGGTTGCAGTGTTCCAGAGTCAAGAGATCACCATTTGTGACTTTTCCAATTGGCTTCCAACAAGCAAAGTCAATGGGGAAAGCCAGATTCATTTGACAACTGTATGATTCACTGAATGAGCATGGAGGTTTATTTAATGGCCATAGCAGAAAAGGTCATAAAATTGGAGCTTAAGGGTCTCACTTAGCGACAGAAGTCCTGGTCCTAAATGTGGTCATAACTCCAATACAACATACAAGCAGTAATGTATTTGTACTTATTAGATTTTAAAATATTGAGCATTCCTGGATGTTGGAGCATGGGGAGGAAAAAAAGATTAGTTTATATTCAGACTCAAATTTGTAATATGTTCAAAGATCTGATAGATAAGTAGGATACACATATTACAACTCTATTTTGTTTAAAACATCTTTGCTGCAAATCTAGCTCTCTGTATGGTGAACCTTAATTGGCTTCATGTATTGATTTGTCAGGGAAATCAATGTATTGATTTGTCAGGGAACCACGGCGAACCACTTTTCCATACAGAAAAGGTGAATGGTATCCAGGACAAGCATTGTGCTAAGTTGCTGGGAACACCTTGAAGCAACCTCATCGCAATTTTGATCTATTTTGATCTAAGTGCTAGAGCCCACTGTAACTACATAGCCAAAAAGGCATTAAGAGTTGTTAACCTAACCCTGTGTAGCTTTTTCTCCGGTAATATCACTCTACTAACTAGAGCATATAAAACATTTGCTAGACCAATACTTGAATACAGCTCATCAGTCTGGAACCCACATTACATATCTGATATTAATACAATTGAGAAAGTCCAGAAATATTTTACGAGAAGAGTCCTCCACTCCTCTACTCGTAATAGAATACCTTATGCCACCATACTTGAAATTTTAGACCTAGACAACTAGAACTACGCTGCCTTCTGTTCGATCTAAGTATAGCACCTAAAATGATATATTGCAATGTCCTACCTGTCAATGAATACTTCAGCTTCAACCAAAACAATACAAGAGCACACAATAGATACAAACTCAAGGTAAACCACACCAAACTTGATTGCAGGAAATACAACTTCAGCAACAGTGTAGTCAATGTCTGGAATACTCTGCCTGACTCTGTGGTTTTTTCCCCCAAACCCCAAAAACTTTAACCTTAGACTGTCTACTATTGACCTCACCCCTTTCCTAAGAGGTCTGTAGAGGGTGTGCATAAGCGCACCAATGTGCCTACCGTCCCTGTCCTATTGTTTCTTTTTTTCTTATATGTATCCATTTCCTGTATTCATAACCATGTTTATACTTATACCTGTTATCTAATAATAACTTGACAAAAATAAATAAACAAATAAATTTTGGGGAAAGTAAGGGTACAATTCTGACTCTTGAACTAAGGCTTTTGAAGAAGCAAGCATTTTATCTATGTATACATTTTCCCCTGCAAAAATGTTCTCAAAGAGAAGTTAAACACTGTGGTATCTTATAGAAACCAATCATGCTGGTGCAATTTGAGATGTTGTAAGAATTCTTCAGAATTACCAAAAAAAAATTGTTTCTCTTTAGTCTATTTCCAAATGGATATCGTCAGACTTCCTAGGTGCAATACATTCACTCTAAAAAAGGGGGGGGAGGGAGATTCAACTCAAAATCTTGAGTAACAAGAAACACCTATAAACACAAAGTTCATTAAGTCACAGGTGCTAATTGAAAAAAACTACCCTAATTAGTTTTTCTTAGTTGGTTTCTTCCCACAATTCTATTATTAACATATTCTGGGTATAATACTCACCGGAAAGTAGAAAAGGTTTTGTGGTTTTCTACCCCCTCATCTCCTATGCTGAAAAAGGAACTTATTACTAAACATTTTACTAACATGGAAAAAAATATTGGTGTTTCCATTTATAAGTCATTTTCCATAATAGAGAAGTTTAAGAATATACAATACCCCCATTTCTTGAAAAACAAAATTAAAAGCCACAAGAAGACTCTGTAAAGGACATTATCCATTTTGACTGTATCTTGTGACCAGGAGACAATTTCTTATCTTTTAAGGCTGACTTAAGTAACAAAGTGAACACACTGAATAAATAACTGGCTAAATGTATACAAAGTGAGGCAAAACAAGTCAAAAGCATTACGTTTCTCATCTCCCTTTAACTACCCTAACAATTTTTTTTTTATCGAAGGCATCTTTTTATTGTGTTGCAGGAATTCAAAATCTAAATGTGTCCTATGTGAAATGCATTCTTTCATTTGACCTGAAACTGCCATAATTCAGCATGATTGGTTGACTCTTATTTTCTTTATACTAACTGTACTTGCACACATTTCTATTATACCTTATTTGTTTTTTAAAAGGAAAAATATCTCAAATATTGCAATATTTCCTTAGAAGTGAGCTGACTGTTGCTCTTCTCTGCACCTTTCTAGCTCTATAGTATTGTACATAGAATGGTATATACTAGTGTTTCAGGACTGATTCTTTTCTCTATTATCTCTTTCTCTATTCTACAATCCCAGTTTATTTTTAATTCATTTCTTAATAACCTTCAACACAGAACTTGCCCTTTTCATAAGGAACTAGGCTCACCTGATATTTCCAACATTCTCCCAAACCATCAATCAATGTATTCCTAAAAATCAGAGGGTTCGCCTCATGTATTCAATTCATTAATTTTCTACTTGACATTTCCTCTGGTAGCTCAGTGACATACCCCTCACTTGCTTCAACTTTCCTCTATAACAACCTTGTGAAATAGGTTGGGCTGAGACCAAGTGACTAGCTTCTATGGGTGACACTTGAACCTGGTTCTCCCCTACATCCCTTTATATTTGTATAATGTAAACTTATAAATTTAATAATTATATTTGCCTTTAATACCAATTTCCTAATTTATAGAGATTCTTTTCCTCACATTCTTTAAACCTAAAGTATCAGCAATTTGGCTAGTCTCCTGCTCATCTTTAACATCAGGTAAAAGAAGAACTGGGCCTAAATTTTATTTTTCTTGTATGTAACCATTTCATGTATTCACAACTATGTATACATTTATACTTATTATCTTGTAAACAATTGGCAAATCAAATAAATAAAATAAATAAATAAATAAAGAGATTTTTGGGAAAGTCTACACTTTATATCCCACCCCTGAGGAAATGTTTAATTCCACCTTTCCACCTTCTGTCATTCTGTATTATCTGGTCATGATTTCTCCTGATTTATGAATGATATATTTTTTCTCAGAAAATCATCGTGGTTGACCTGGTTCTGAAAATCAAGGCAGGCTTTATAATGTGATCCAATATTTTTCCAGTTCAAGTTTAATTAACAGAATAGCAGAATAACAGAGTTGGAAGCGACCTTGGAAGTCTTCAAGCCCCTGCTCAAGCAGGAACAGATACCATTTCAGACAAATGGCTGTCCAATCTCTGCCTAAAAATCTTTAGTTTTGAGCACCCACAACTTTTGGAGCTGTTTCCACTGTCAGGAATTTTCTCCTTAGTTATAGATTGCTTCTCTCCTTGATTAGTTTCCATCCATTGATTTCAGATACTTTGGAAAATAGGTTGACCCATTCTTCTTTGTGGCATCTCCTTAGATATTGGAACAGTGCTATCATGTCACCTGTCATTAAATTAGGCATATCCAATTCCTGCAACCATTCTTCATAAGTTTTAGCCTCCAGTCTCCTAATCATCTTTGTTGCTTTTCTCGGCACTCTTTCCAATTCTTTATGGGACATGGAGTAATAGACTTGAAGGTCTTCTACTAGTCCAATCCCCTATTCAAGCAGGAGACCCTACACCAATATATAATAGAAGACCCTATTATAAAACTCTCTCTCTCCTATCGAAGCGGGTTCAAAGCACCAAAGTTTTACCTCCTTCTGCAAGAGGTGCGGGTTAAGAAAAAAAAACCAGCCATTGTTGTTATACACCTCAATTTTCCTGGGGACAAGCTCAACTCCTTTTAGCACCTACCTGGTACCTGCCGGTCAGCAGCTGACTGCGAGAGGGAGTACATAGGGGCTGCGTATAGTAGCGCTCCAGACGCACTCCGCCGGCACTCAGCGCGTCCAAGTTCGGGGTGCGGATCTGGGAGCCGTGCCAGCCCACGTCGTTCCAGCCTAGATCGTCGGCCAGGATGAAGACCAGATGCGGCGACGAGCTTGGAGACCCTGCATGCAGAGGACACAGCTGCAATAAGACCTGCAGCCCCACGAACAGGAGTCGCCGATCCATCGCTCCTCGTCTGGTCGAGCAGGAACTAAGTTGACCGCCCGCCTATAAGGAAGAACTATGATCCAGAGGCGGGACCACCATCAAACTCAGCGTATCCGCCCAATCCGGACGAAGCAGCTTCTCCCAGGGCAATGAAAGGAGGCGGGACTAGGAGCCCGCTGGTTCGCTTGAAGCGCCTTTTTCTAGGTGAACTCCACCGTTGTGCAGTTGAGGCTAATGGGCCATGTAGTGTGATGAAATGACTATCGGGTGCAGAGTGCAAGCCCGAGAACCGGCCGGCCTTTAAGCTGGGCCCGGGTCCCCATTTAGAGAGGTCCCCGTTCAGAGAGCCGGTTTGCACCAGTGCAATCTTGCTGGAAGACAACTTCTAGTATCCCTCCTCATGCGCTTTGCTGAATGGGGCTGTGGCTGTAGTGAACAGTTGTTGGAGGGACACAATCCACATCTTGGAGATGGAAAAGTGAGTTTGGGCCAGCTGCGAACATATAAGTGAGCAAGAAGAGACTAGTGGTTCACCTTCCTCTGAAGAGTAGAGCCCCTTTCCTATTGTAGGGTTAACTGAATTGTATCACCTCTAATTTGTAGGGTCCTTGGTGCTCTCTGAGCTTGGTTGTTTTCTTGCAGACGTTTCATTACCCAAACTAGAAAACATCAGTGCTAATAAGGAATGGGATTTACTCTGTTTATATTCTAGTGCAGAGGTCTCCAGACTTGGCAACTTTTAAGACTTGTGGACTTCAACTCCCAGATTTCTGGGAATTGAAGTCCACAAGTCTTAAAGTTGCCAAGTTTGGGTACCCCTGTTCTAGTAGCTTACCTGTCAGTGTTGTGATGGGAGTGGTCTTGGAGGTTCTTCCATTAGGCTGTTTACTGTTAGCATGTTTGGTAGTTCCTTGTTTAGGGTATTGTTTATTTCTTAATAGTTGATCTGATGTTAATCTTGGGAGTTAATCTATGCTCATCTGGATGTTGATTGCTGGTGGGGAGGTGTTTTGGTCTTTTTGTTTGTTTTATGGCTTTTTGATAGTCTCTTTTACAGTCTCTACATCTATGTTTCTATCGATAGCTAATTTGTCAGAATGCCAGGCTTGGTATTAGACCAAACCAAGTTTAAAACTGCTAGAAAATAGCATATCATCACCTGTAGTTCATGGAGTCAGATGTATACTGTGAATTATCAAATGCTGCATTAGAAGCAAGATTAACTCCATTTGTTTTATACACACCTCAATACATAATATGCTTCATGGAATTAGCCATGTTATAAGAATGATTTTAACTAAAATGTTTGCATAAACTTCGGGGAACTATGAACTGATGGTCTGATGTAAACTTTGTGGCAGGATTCTACCAAGCAACTTATTTTTTTCTTGCTGTAACATTTCAGTTAGTGGTCAGGAAGTGTAATAATCACTCAACTCTATTTCATTCACAGACTCTTAGTTGCTATTTTCTTGCAAAAACCTGTTGATATAAAACATGGAAATAGCAATACCTATTGTATTTATCAGAGAAAATATATAAATGTTAATCTAAATATATAAATGATAATCTAAATATTAAGGAGTTGGCATTTAGGTCATTATTCACAGCTGTTCTGATTATCAGGGTGTTATCTATTTGACACATTACCATATACTATTACCTTATACTATACATATACATATACAGTATATGTATACATATGTACACATACATATATGTGTATACATTCGTATATGTGTATATAGTATGTGTGTGTATTGCAGTAATATAATCTTTAAGAATCCGATTTTTCTACTAATATCAATTAGATTCACACCACTTAAAAGTATAAGAATGTACTTTTTAACAAATGTATTTTTCGACGCTAGGTAATACTATAGAGTAGACCAGAGTTCCCCAACCTTTCTGGATTGGCGGCCTAGAGCAGAGGGAGGGGGAAAGGATGATTTTGAGAGCGCAAGTGCCCACATTTGCAACGACATGAGTGCAAGTGGTGCCGCAAGCACCCACGAGGCTCATGTGAGTTGGACTGTGAATGCCCACAATGAGGCTTGTGCGAGTGGGGCCATGAGTGTTTGTGATGAAGCTCACGCAAGTGGGGCCACAAGTACCTGTGACAAGGCTCACGCAAGTGGGGCTGTGCATGTGCATGCAAGTTTGTACTCATGTGGCCCAGTGACATTTAGCCCACGGCCCGATAGTGGCCATGGCCCACAGTTTGGGGACCCTTGCTAGAGACAGTTCTGCCATGTTTTGTATTGTATTGTTTTCTAAGTGGATATTCAGCCTGATATATCAGTAGATACTAAATTATTAGCAGTCCTGATTATTCAAACTGCATTTCTATGGCCCTATCATCAGTTTTTTTTACAGTACTCAGAGTTTAGATATATTAATTCTTTTGGAAGCTTCTATTTATTTGAGCAATTTTTATCTAAATGCTCTTTTAAAATGTTAATGCAAACTTAGTTTTGAATAGTACAATAATGTGCATAGCAAAAAAAAACAATTACTACCCACCTGCCTTCAATTGAGGACCTGTATACTGCATGAGTCAAAAAGAGGGCTGTGAAAATATTTACAGACCCCTCACATCCCGGACATAAACTGTTTCAACTCCTTCCCTCAAACAACACTATAGAACACTACACACCAGAACAACTAGACACAAGAACATTTTTTCCCCAAAAGCCATCACTCTGCTAAACAAATAATTCCCTCAACACTGTTCAACTATTTACAAAGTGTGCACTACTATTACTGTTAATCTTCTCATCACTCCTTATCACCCATCCCCTCCCACTTGTGATTGTAGGACTGTAACTTTGTCGCTTGTATCCTTACGATTTATATTGACTGTTTCTTAGTATGATTTGATTGTTGATTGTACCCTATGACTATCGTTAAGTGTTGCACGTTACAATTCTTGATTCTTAACCAATGTATCTTTTCTTTATGTATACTGAGAGTATTTACACCAAGATAAATTCCTTGTGTGTCCAATCACACTTGGCCAATAAAGTATTCTATTCTATTCTATTCTATTCTGTTCTGTTCTGTTCTGTTCTGTTCTGTTCTGTTCTATTCTATTCTACTCTAAGTTTGTTCTAAGATGTACATTGCTTATAGAAAGGAAATGTTATGGGTTAGCATCAAATAAAGCCACCTTAATGGATTTGCAATCTATCATGGAAAGTATGCATATGGTAAATTTCATGTATAGCTTTTCCCAGTGCCCATCAAATACTGTATATTAGACTTACAACTCCCAACATTTGCTTCTAGAGGATTGCTATAAGCTAAGTTTTTTCTTGGACAACTAGGAAATAGGAAAAAATAAATTAAAAATAGTCATGCTGAATCAGACTAAAAATACATTTGATTTGTAGAATCAAGCTGCATGTTTGTCCTTAGTGCTTCATCACTTTTCTATATGATCGATAATATAATCAATAATATAATAAAGGGATAGTAGTTTATCCAGCACTTGATATTAATAACTGGTTTGCACCTGTAAAAGGTATTTTATTTATTGACAGCAAAACTCATGGACCCTATCTTATAACAACCTTGGCTATGCCTTTTTTGTTATCATAAGCAATCTCCTAATATTAACCGAATGTTCAAAGAGAACAGAATTGTTTAGCACCATAAAACAAATTTAGAAGTTAAGATTTATTAACTCAACTTTATAGACATTCAAAGGAAAACAGCAGCAAAATATTTCATGCTACATAATATATATGCTCTTTTTAAAAAGGGGGAAGAAGCCTTATGTGAAAAAGGCTGCTAAATTTTCTAAACTACAAACTTCTTGATGCAGGAATTGGGTTACACAACTTTCTTTCCACAATAACAAAGAGATACATTTTTGAACTTTTGTGAGATTATATATTTCTGGAGGGGATCAGAGGAAGGCAATGAAGAAGGCACCAATTATTCAGGATGCAGGAAGAAGGTAAGAACTGCTACCACTAAGTGACACTGTCATGTGACATCATGTTATATGATCACCTTGCTTAGTACAGAAAGTCCAGTCCCAAATGCCATACTTAACTACTTGTGGTCCTAATAGAATATTCTCAATATTCACACATAATTTTCTGCTTTAAGAACGTTTGCTGAAATGTCCTCTTTTTAGATTGAATCAAATACGGCCATTAGTTATACGGTTTCTTTTTAACTGCTTCAGATGCTTCACAGGAGAAGAGCACAGAAGAAAAATGATGTTGAAATTTATTTGATATGCATTTGTTACTCATTTTTATAGCATATCCAGATGGTGGTATTCACATTTTCCCAGCATTCAAATGATGTTTTGTTGTCCAGAAAAGGTCTTTTTCTTTCTATGATAGTTCTGTTACTTTAATGCCACAACCTTTTCTACTAATGTAAAACAATCCAAGTATAAATATAAGTAATAAAATTCACTTTTCTGCTACTTTGTCACCATAAAAAATATTTACAAGGAGTTGATCACCCTCTTAATGCTCAGGTGGCAGATGGAAGCTCTCATGGAGTTCCTTCAAACTGAAATTCTTTCAACTGATGGGAAATGTAAAAACTAGTATCTTCTTCGTTGCTCTTGTCCCATCCCGTCAAGAAATGGTATATTTTCAAAACAGGTTGAACTTTTATCTGCTTGTTACTGTGGAAAGGAAGTTCTATACAAATAGTCCTCGAATTACAACCACAATTGGGGCTGAAATAAACACAGAACTGCACCCAATTTTACAGCCTTTTTTGCCATGATTATTAAGTGAATAACCAGGTCATTCAGCAAATCATAAAATAATTATATTCTGATTTCCAAGGGCCTAAATTGCAATCCCATGACCGTGAGAACACCGTGACGGTTGTTAAAATGAGAACTGGTCATAAATCACTTTTTTCAGCACCATTGTGAGTTGGAATAGTTGCTAAACATATGGACATAACTTGAGGACTACCTGTAACCTAATATTTTGTTCCAGCAATACAAAAACAGTAGCTTTGCAAAAACTTTGTTTTCTTTTTACTACACTGTTTTGCAAATTGTAATTCTTTTCCCTTTCTTTTCCCCTTGTTTTTTAAAGATATAAATGTAATATCTGCTTAAGATCAGAATTACTCGTCAATTATTTAGAGATGAGCTATTATATTTCTGGTAGATAATCAAGCACTCAACATCATAAAGGTACAGGTAATTTGGATATAGACATACAGTTAAATCCAGTGTTCTTAAAATCAGTTTGAAGGAGCCTACTAAACACTACAGTATTGAATGTTTTAAGTATGTAAACATGATTTTTTTTTCTCTTGAATATTTCCTTATGGACGATTATTATTGTTGTTGTTACTTTTTTTCCCCAAATGAAATGCAAATATTCACAACATATCTTTTTGCTCCAGAAAAGCTCTTTCATATTTTCTATCTTATGTGATTCAAGTCACATGGGATTTCAAATATAGCAAAATTTCAAATCAAGTTAATCCCATTTTAATTGTCCAACATGACAATTTTGTGATTCTTTATTTATACTTTAGAACTTCCTCCTTTCTTTTGAAGCCGCGTTCTTGTTGGTTCAGTCATTATCAGTGGTTCTTGAACAACAGTTGCTGGGTAATTTTTGCCTAGTAACTCAACCTCCAGCTTCTGTCCAATTTTACTGAGTTCCACGGGAACATATGCAAAAGCCAGACTTTGCTGAGTACTATAGCTGTAACATCCAGATGTAGTGTTGCCAATAACCTGAAAAATGTAAATTTATCACTTATAGATTTATAAGTATATAAAATATATAGTTGATACAATTTGTGTTTCTAAATATTTAACTTTTAACATATGTAATAAAATCAAATATGTGATCGTATTAGTTTAAACAATGGCAAAATTTTGAGATTATATTGATACTTAGATGATATAATTCTGTTTTATTGGACCATCTTTGTCCAATGGGGAAAAAATATTGCAGGTTAATTCCTATGCTTGATAAAAAATCGACTAGAGACTAAATATTGTTTGACTTCTGTAAATGCTACAATTCCAACTCAAGTGGAAGGGGTCAGACTGAGGAATGGTGATTTACAGCAAATACAGTATACATGCACCAGTGATGGTATTTTACCGGTTCGGACCAGTTCGGTCAAACCAGTAGCTCCGAGGATCATCTCTGAGCGAACCAATTCACTTTGACAATCAGATGCTGGGCCCTCCCACCCGCCCAGGGTCTATACTGACCTTTATTTCCGGCTTTTCAACCTTAGCTGTTTCGCGCGGCACAGCCGATTGCCGCACATCAGCTGTTTTACACACAGGGCTTGCAGCAGAAAGTGAGTTGCAAACGCTGCATGCATGCAGAGCACACATTTGGTGCGCGCAAAGCACGCACACGCAAAGCACGCGCTCACACCCATCCGGTATGCACCACTGACACGTACCCACGTATACCCACCTTCTACTTTTTGAAAGGCACATTAGCTTTTGCAACTAACATGATAGCCATTTTTTAAAAAAGAGTAAAATACAAAGGAGGTTTCAGAAAAATGTTCCTCAATTATTTGAACTAAAATCTGCTTACCTTGTCTTTATACCAGATACTTTCATTTCCTTCAGGATCAACATCATCTGTTTTCAAGATGAGACACACAAGTTTTCGTTCAAGCCCCTTTTCTTTAATCTGTTTCAGTGCGTTCTTTCCTATGAAGTCTGCTGGCTGGGGAAAAATGATAGTAAGTGATTAGTAGATTCTGATAAGGTTATAGATCAGTGGTGGGATTCAATTTTTTTTACTGCCAGTTCAGTGGGTGTGGCTTGGTGGGTGTGGTAGGGGAAGGATACTGTAAAATCTCCAGTCAGAGGTGGTATTTGCTGGTTTTCTAAACTACTCAAAATTTTCGCTACCGGTTCTCTAGAACTGGTCAGAACCTGCTGAATACCACCTCTGTTATAGATGCAGGTTTTTGAGAATTAACTGGAAATTTTTAGTTAGGTTTCAGGTGTGGACATAATGTGTCGTGGGAGCCAGGATGATTGGGGGATGTCCAATGCCTAGAGGCTGTTGGGGTTTTGATGGGGAAAAACATGTTTAGGCTGACAGCAAAATTGAATGGCTGTTGGTGTTTGGCCTCCTGGTGGTAGGAACTTTCCATCTTTGGACTAAACAACATATTATTTGAAATTGGGTTTTGAGTCTTCCTAGACTCTCAGCTCCTTTTTAAGAAGCAGGTAGCAAGCTGGGGGTCAGAAGGCCATAAAGAGGAATCAATAGTTCAATTACACATAAGCCTGTCTACAGTTGGAAGCCTGATTACTAAGTGAAACTTGGATGCTTCTGAATAGTTACTGGAACACAGAGCAATTGGAAGGGTTCCCAGAAGCATTTAATTAGTTTCTTATTCTTATCCATTTCACTTTTTATGGAATAGCAAGTTCAACAGGAATAATTTTATCAAGAAATGGCACTTTCACTAGTTACTGGAACAGAATAGAGATGGATGTCGATGCTCCTGCCTCCAGAATTGCAATTTGCATTTCAAACAAGTGCCTGTGCCAGATTATCATTATGAAGCAATTATATACTCAACACAATGGAGAAAAACCTGTAGCAGTTCCACAGACTAAGCAACACATTCAGACCAGCAGCTTTTCAACCAGTCTTTTTTCCAATGGAAAAAAAATATGTTGTACCTCCTCAGCAAGGGGTCAGAGGTAAAAGGAGTGGAAGAAAACCTGTTTGTGACTCTTTCATTTCCATGGGAACATAGTATTATGAAATATTGTGAATACTGCTGTAATTCATCCATTATCCCTCCCATTTATTTTAGCTTTTCTCTGTATCAGTCTGAAGTGATGAAAAATCATGACCATGCAATTTGCAGATATCATATGGCATCCCAAGAATCAGCTAATTTGTATAAACACTCCAGGACAGAAAAAAGAAACATTTTTTTAAGTGAAAGCAAACCATAAGAAATGAAAATAAAATCTAGTTTAATGAAAAGAAGGACTTAGAGGTGACATGATAAAAGTGTTCCAAAAGCTCAGGGGTTGCCACAAAAAAAAAAAAGAGAGAGAGAGAGAGAGAGAGAGAACCAAGCTATTCCCCAAAGTACCTGAAGTCAGGACAAGAAGCAATGGATGGGAACTAATCAAAGAGAGAAGCAACCTACAGTAGAACTAAGGAGAAATTTCCTGACAGAACAATCAGTGGAATAAATTGTGATTGTTCCAACGCTGGAAGTTTTAAAGAGATTGGACAACCATTTGTCTGAAATGATATAGGGTTTCCTGCCTGAGTAAGGGGTTGGACCGAAGTCCTTTCCAACTCTTATTCTACTCTATTCTAAAATCTGCTTAAATATCTGGTCAACAATGAGTTCTGCAGTGTTGTTAGTTGCAAAGTTATGTCCAACCCATCGCAATCCCATGGGCAACGTTCTTCCAGGCCTTCCTGTCCTCTACCATCTTCTGGAGTCCATTTAAGCTCATGCCTACTGCTTCAGTGACTCCATCCAGCCACCTCCTTCTCCGTCATCCCCTCTTCTTTTGCCCTCAATCTTTCCCAGTATTAGGCTCTTCTCCAGTGAGTCCTTGTCATTAGGTGGCCAAAGTATTTGAGTTTCAACTCCAGGATCTGGCCTTCTAAAGAGCAGGAGTTCTGCAGTAAGCATGACCAATTTCTACAGTTCACTTTAATAAAGTGGTAGCTGAGAAGATAATGAAAGATGCCTAGAAGTGCCGTTGGAGGATAATGAAGAGTAAACAGAACTGAACATGAGTTAAGAACCTTTTTTGAGGAGATAAGCTTGTGGCAATAAGGGCAGAAAAAAACCCAGTTATTATTCTGCCCTCATTGTACCACCGAGTGCCAACTGGTGGCCCTTTTTAGAATAACCAGAATAATTTCTCCTTGATTAGAAGGTATGACAGAAATAACCTGCAGAGCTGCAGTGAGGACTATTCTAGGTATCTATTGAATTGGATTTATTTTGAGTTGGACACTGATTGTACAGTCTTTTGGATTTGGCCAAGACACAGTCTTGCCCAGTTAATCAGAGAAGAGTTTGAACTCTGCCTAGAGGTGCACTTCCCAAGTGAGAACTGATGCACAACATGAGGGTCAATTTATCATCCTTATATTCTGTAAGCCAGGGGTCACCAACCTTTTGAACCTCAGGGACCACCAAACCCATAATTTTAAATCCTGCAGACCACTAATATGAATTTTGACTGACAGTGGCAGCAGAGACCCTGGGGAAATCTCCCCCAAAAGTCCCCGCCCCATTTTCCTACCCATTAATCATTCTTTATTTGGGATCACAGGATACCATCTCCAGCTCTGTTCTCAGGGGAAGAGAGAGAGAGAGAGAGAAAGAGAGAGAGAGAGAAAGAGACTTTTGTCTTCATGCAAGGAAAGCAGCAGAAGTAGAAGTCTTTCTTTCTCTCCCCCAAACTCCTCCAGAAATGAGTCTTTGTGAGACTGTCATGCCAGCACAGCCTCTTGGAGCAGGATGCCTTGCAGGGTCCCAAAGACTCATCTCTGGCGGAGTTTGGGGGAGAGAAAGAAAGATTTTTTGCTGCTTTTCTTGCATGCAGCCAAAAGCAGAAGAAGAAAGAAGTGGAAAGAAGCAACCTGGTGTCCAGGCGAGGCGTGTGGGGCAAGTTCCCCCTTCCCCCCTCCCCTCAATACCTCATGTTGTTCGCAATGCAAGCAACACAAGCCTTGTGTTCCCATGGGCCATATGGGAGGCACAGCCTTGTGTTCCTACACAGCCTGGATTAATTGCTTTGGGGGGTGGGGTGTGCTTTGAGTGACATTTCTCTGCAGACCACCAAAATTTTATCGCAGACCACAAGTGGTCCCTGGCCAACTGGTTGGCGACCACTGCTGTAAACAGTAATTCCATATATTGTCTCTACAAACTCTAATTAAACTCTGCCTATAAAACACATTCAAATACAACTAATCTCCCCAGTGCTTATCTTCAACATTAGTCATCTGATACTCAATATCCTGGCAATATCCTAGTCAATATCCTCAATATCCTAGGAAGCTCAATATCCTAGTCAATATCCTCAATATCCTAGGAAGCTCAATATCCTAGTCAATATCCTGGCAATGAATCTTACTGTTGTACGTATTCCATTATTAGTTCTTTTGGGTGCTTCATTGTAAATACAACATCATCAACAAATCATTTTATTTTATGTTCTTGATTTCATAATTTAATTCCTGAAAATTTGTTTTCTGGTATATTCTTTGTTAATGGTAGCAGTAATAGAAATAAAGAAAGCAAGAGGAGACTAGTCTTGTTCCTTGCGTTATAGTATATTTTTGTGATAAAATACTCTGGTGCATTCTCAAAGATAATTCCCAAAGATCACAAGGACTAACCCAGCCTCAGTAGCTGTACAAATTACAAAAAATTTAAGTACCCAAAATAATGTGGAATTTGGACAGTAACTCCCAGATTATAAGATTATTATTTTATCTGGTGAGGAAAATAAAAGGCAGCAATTAAGGACAATAAAAAACCTCTCTATTTTTAGTGTGCAGAAAGCTGTCAAAAGATGTTTAATCTTTTAATAACATGATTTATTTGCTAAATCACTTGTGAATGCTGGAATAGATCCAAATTATACACACAAAACTACTCAGCTGCACATGAGAGCACAGCATCTGCTGCAGTCTGCTTTAACCACCACCTTAAAATACACATGAGACCATACTTGTGCAGTACTTTCAAATTAATTATTCTTCATTGGCTGTTCTTGAATAATTGCAGGAAAGCCGCCTAAAATAAATTTCTTTCATAGTTAAACAAAGAGATGACATTTTACCCCTAAAGGCAATTAATATTTCACAGATTCATGTTCCAAATACTTGTGCCAAATGTACTTTCCTAAAAATACAGACTCAAGAAAATATTGTGAAATTGTTTCTCCTTTTTACAATAAAATATTTAATGAACTAAATAAGGTCACAACTGATTACAAAATTGCCTTTGCTAAGCAATATGGCTGTAAAGTGTGACATCACAGGACTAGGCCTCCTTAGCAATCCAGTTCCAGCCGTCCCAGCTGTTGTTAAATGGGGACTGTGTAATTCCAATCATATGACTGCAGCTCTGTGCCATTTTGTAATTGTGAGATGGTGCTAATCATATGACCATGGACTCTCTTAATAGCGCCAAGGAAACTTAAACACACAAACATACACAAACTGAGAAATTATTTAAAAATGAGAAGTGCTAGGAAGAAATTTCGCATTCTCTAAGAAGATTATCCCAGCTTCTCTGGTAAAACTGTAAACTTCTATCTTAAACATAATAAAATCTGGTATTGTAAGTTTTAAATGCATCTTACATGGCAAGTTCCAGTTTAATAGTACTCATTAACTAAATAAAAATGTTTGCAAACTGTTAAAAAATTCCAACAACCCACATTTCCTGATTTGATTTCCATATTAGTAGGCTGATAATTATGCATACATTATTATTATGCATAAATAATTAACCTATAGTAAAACTGAGGTATGTGCAACTAATTTTATTTCAACTAAGTTAGAACTGTATAAAATAAAGAAACTGCTCTGATCCCCAAATTACTTGGAAAGTGCCAAAAAATGAAATTAATTAGTAGATCACATTATAGCTTATCTACCAAAACAGCAGCATGGACTGGGAAATGAGACAGAAGGAAGGAACACTGCTACATACACCAAGGTACACTACTTACTGAAGTGTATAATTATCTGGTGTTTTTTGCTGATTCAAATGTAACAACTATTCACAAACAAAGGAAGAAAATAATAATTAAAGTATAGTAGAAAAAAATAATAAACCCACCTTATTTAATTTGATAAAATATTGCAGTCCAGCTTCCAGAGGATTGGTGTCGCAATTCATCTGTTGAAAAAAAAGATGCAATAAAAAAACCACTAGGTGGCATATTTTTTTCTCATTTCTTTTGATATCCAACAAATGAAACCTATATTTTACATTAATCAAATAAGTATTTATTTTAATAAATTGGCATAGGTCTTAATAAAATTTATATACTAATCTTATACTATTCCCATTAAAATAAAACTGTAAGCTTCACCAGCCATTGGTAAAATCAGCAGTGCATAAATGATACAGGATCATAATGATAAAGGCACATTTTTAAGCAAGACAAATCAGGAAACTCATAAAATTACCTTTACTCAGTCAGACCAGTGAAAGTTATTCTATGTGAAAAGCAGCTCCTTCTAGAACTTTTCTGTAGGTTTAGCTAGGGATGCTAGTGATCAAACCTAAATATTTTACATGTATGGCTACAGCATTAGACAAATATGTGTTACAAATTCTGTCTGGATTTCTGGTGTTCTGTTACATCTTGGCTCTCTAGACATTGGAGAATTACTATTAAGGGGGTTACTCTACAGAAGGCTCTTAGCCACTAATAAGCTAGATCGATTAACTTATTTTAGACTAGAATAAAGTAACACTTTTATATTACTTTTTTATACATTAGATTTTTGAAAATTGTGAGCTGTAATTTCTTTAAAGAGAGAGCACCAATCACCTACACTAATATGTACTGGTAATCCTTGCTTACTGACTGCCTTGTGCAGCAACCATTGGAATTTATGATGATTGAAAATACCCCCAAACTTGGCAACCAATCTTTGCAATACCTGTTGCGATTCACACAAAAGCACACACTGGAGAAAGATTTCATATGGTTCTCTTTTGGTGTATCTTTGCTCTTTGCAGAGTATAGAGGAAAAAAATTAAGTTTAGGTTTTATTATTTGTGCTTGATATTTTTATTAGGTGCAATATGTTTGTGTATGTGTATGAAGAAGAGGGAGGGAGCATGAGGAAATAATTTTTTAATTTAATTTAATTTACCTGCAAATGATTTATTTTAATTATTACTCTATATTTTGGTTTTATTATGTTTTACCAAATTAAATTTATTATTATTAGATTTATTCTATTTATCTACCAACTTACCTAGGGCAGTAAACATGCCTTATATTCCTGCCTCCTGTTTTCCCCAGAAAAACATCCTTGTGAGGTGGGTTGGGCTGAGAAAGAGTATCTGGCCCAAAGTCATCCAATTGGCTTTCATGCCTAAGGGAGGCCTAGAACTCATAGACTCTTGGTATCTAGGCCGGCACTTTTAAATACAAGTTTGGCATGAGCATGAGCACACATAGACACACAGGCATACATACACACACACATACACACACCAAAATAAATGGTTTCCCACCTCTGCTCCCCAGGCACGAAAAGCCTTTTCTAGCCGTAACGTATTCATTGCATATGTTCCAAAGTTGTCAATTCCTTCTTTACATCCAGCATCCATGATTGTAGAATATAGAGCTGCAGTATTTTCTCGTTTGTGGTACAATTCCCATCCTAGTTCACCTATAATATATCAAAACTAATATAGATTTTAACTAGGATTAAATTGTAGCCATCAAAACTTTAACCTGAAAAGAAATTTGGAATGTTCTTTTTTATATAGCTAGGCTATTTAGTATCACTTTACATTTTTTTAAAAAATCAACTATTCTATTTAAGAGACTAATAATGATTTCCTTTCACTTACCCGTATAAGAAATTCTAATTGCAGTAACCTGAATGTTACCAATGCTTAAATGCTTGGATTGTAGAAAACTAAATGCAGCATCACTAAGATCTTCAGAAGTTAATTTCTGGAGAACTTTCCTTGCATATGGACCTGCTATACCAAGTACCCCAATTTCATCTGTAACATTTTTGATGTCAACGTTATATTGTCCTCTAAATGCCTCTTCTTCAATCCATCTGTGTATAAAATAGAATTATTAGATCAGAACAAAATAATATTTAAAATATTATAGGACTAGAAATAGAAAGTAAGAGTAATATTGATAGGCACCCAGTCTTTTAGAATTACCAAAGAATCAGTGGAGTCAATGGGGCTGAACAGTTTAGAAATAATGTAGTCTCCTTCTTCTGCGTTACCTTTTTTTTGTTTTTTACTACTAGCTTTTTAAATTTCTGTCCTAACTGGCAGCCAGGCTGGAAGATTCCAGTTGTGAGAATTCATAGGACAGGACAGAATTTGTATCTGCTTCTGAGGCAGAAAGAGCTTGGAAATGCAATTCCTGGCTAACTACACAGATACACAACATGTTAGCCCAGCCAGCAGTAACTCCAGCAGTCACTTCCAGAAAAAAAAGATTCCTTAGACTTCTTGGATAACATTAGCATAGCCATTACTTTCTTTATGCATAAGGAAGGAAAGGTTGAAGAAACAAGCAAAAATATGCCCATAAGGTTTTTTTTTAAACCTATGACTTAACTGAGGCTATTACAGAGTTTTTCATTACTAATATTTCATCAATGGACAACTCATTAAAATTACTTCTTAATTGTACTGTTTCAACATATTTACACAAATATGCCACAAACAAGTGCAGTATTCCTGTATCCACACACAACTTTCTCGCACATTAGTGAACAAGACTTCTGCAGTTTCTTGTAAGCAATTGACAAACCAAATAAAATAAAAAATAAAATAAAATAAAACCTTGTGAACAAATTGCTCTCAAGATTTTACTCTATATACAATAGACATATATACTCAACCAGTCATGAATTTATCTCTGATAAAAGCTATTATTATTTCAAGTTTCATAGCCTTTCTTTATTATTCTGAACTGCAGTTCATCCTACGTTTCTTGGACCACAGGTTACTTTAAAACTTCAGCATTTAAAATTTACACTGACCTTAAGTCATGAAGCTCTGATCCAGAACCAGTAATTAATAAAAATTCCCCTGGATTCAGATGAGAGACTGTGAGTTCAGCATAGACTTTGCCTTTGAAGGTTAACATATGACTTATATTTGTGAAACCCATCTATGTAGAAAGAAAGTCAAAACTGTAAGTTAAAATAATCAATTATATAGTAGCTTGTAATAATGCAAAATAACTTTTTATAGCATAGCACACAAATATTACTGAATTAAGTAGACTTCTTCCTCTCCTGACTTTCTATGTTCTTCTCTTTTTTCCCTTAATAGGAACATTTTGTATGCAGAATCAATTGGAAAACATTTATTCCAGGCAAATCTGTAAGCACTTCCACTGACCTTGCACTTTTTGTCAACTCATTGTTATGTTTTCTTTTTGAGAAAATAATAATTATAATACTTTTGTGTTTTCTTTTCATTTATGTTTAAATGTCTTTCAGTTTTAATTATTATGTTTCTAAGCTGCCCAGAATCATGTTTTATGAGATGGGCACCTATATGAATCTGCTAAATAAATACATAGATAAGTAGGTAAACAGTTTGCTCTGCTCTTCTTCCTGGCATATCCTCACAACTAACAGGATTAGGTCTACATCAATCTCTTTAGATTGGAATGGATTAAATAACTAGATATTGGAAGCATTATTTACATGATATGCATTGACGATCTCTTTAATACAGATATGATCCATGCAATCACTACTCCATTCCATAGTAAACACTGTATACAAGATGTATTTGCCCTAACCCAACATAACGTGGAAATGAAATACAAATGCATCTAAATAATGGGGAGACTGTGACCCTGTTATTTTACCACCCTGGAACCAATCTACAGAAAGTATTATTACATTATTGGCTTTTTAAAAATGCAAGGGGAAGCCAATTCTAAATCATTTTGTACTCAACTGTGCCCTCGTATTTAAATGAAGGAAGCTAGTGGCAATTAGGAAATGTGAAAAACATCAATACAGTGGGGAAGGCAGTGTGACATGAGGTAAAGTGACTTTCATGGTCCCTGTAGCTTCAGATGGAAGGTGCTATACTTACCTAGTTAGGACTATTGATTCAACACCTCTGAGTACAAAGTGATCAATAGATGGAATTAACAGTGGATTATTTTATATTGTTATTGTTATTATTTTATTTACCTTTGGGACCACATTTGCAAACAGACGATCCAAAAGTTTAACTGAATCACTGCCTTTGATGCTAAACTTGCCAAAAGGAGTAAGGTCAATCACACCCACTTTTTCCATCACTTGTTGATATTCTCGACCTACAGGTTCAAACCAGTTTGTGTGTCGAAAACTAGGTCTGGAAAAACAATATTTCAACGACTCAAAAAACCTAGCATGGCTATTTGTAAATTAGAATAAAGCAACTTGTTCAAAAACATCATTTGGGCATTATTTTTCTTTAAAAATAAATGTAATGTATCATGATTAATGTATTAACTACTTTTCAAAATGCTGACATATTGCATTACAACGGGTAATAGAGATCAAATAAAATATATTTTAAACTGAAAGCAAAATGCTTTATTTGTTTGAAATAAAAGGCATATAATACAGGAATAATATGTTCTGAACGGCACTTTCATATTTTAAACAAAAGCAAGGAGTTCATATACATATGCCCAGGGATGGGATTCAAATTTTTTAACCGATTCTGTGGGCGTGGCTAGGTGGGTGTGGTCATGTGACTGGGTGGGCATGGCTCCTTCTTTTTTGCAGCACCCCTCCCCCAGTTTTTTTGGCCCTTCTGGGTCTCAGGAAAGCCTTCTGGTGGGGTGTTTTTGCTCCTAGGAAGCTTCCCTGGGGCCCAGGAAGGCAAAAAATGGAGACATGGGGGTATGTATGCTACGCCCACGCCTCCATTTTTTGCCTTCCTGGGCCTCAGGGAAGCCTCCTGGGCGAAGCAGTAAGACAGCAAGGGTAATCCTGGCACAGCTGATCATAGGAACAGCTGATCGTCGGGAGGAAAAATAAGAAAAAAATACCCAAAGGAGTGACTGGGCAGGGAAGAAGGCAGGCAGCAGTGTGCAATGTTGTGCATGCGCGATAAAAACTGACTGGGTGGGAAGGGAAGGGTGGAGGGGAGGGCAGCCAGAAGCATGATTTGCCAGTTCTCAGAACTACACAGAATCATAACAATTGGTTCTATAGAACCGGTCTGAATGGGTACAATTCCACTCCTGCATATGCCAGATATGCAGTGAAAACTGATGGATCAATTATTCTTAATACTATTTCTTAAAACTACAGTAAAAATAAAATGAGGAGGAAAACCAAATGGACAATGCAGTACAATATATTTCCATTAAATTGGAAATGGACAATGCAGTACAATATATTTCCATTAAATTCTTAAAGATAAATTAGCAGCACAAATATTTAACTTTCATTTACTTGTATCCAATGTCATCACCCTGTTTGTAAAACCAATGAGGTTGTTCCCAGCCTGCATGGAATCCCATGGAGCATTTAGATTTAAGCTTTTCATAAAGCCCACTGACTCTTTCTGTAGGTCTTCCAGCAAATCTTTCTTCTTTAGGAAACCCAACTGCAAAATTAGAAAAATAGCATACTAAATCAAATAACACGAAAAACAAAAAATGGATCACATATATTGTACAAACAAAAGTTTTGCTTCCAAAACCTCATTAGAAGGCCACATGCAATTTGAACAAGGCCATGTATGATTTAGGTAAGGGCCAGGCACAGCCTCAGGGACAGGACCAGGCCGCTTCATGAAGGGCCCCAATGGGCACGTCTCAGCGGCAGCAGTAGGAAAAGATGGCAAATGCCAACTGCACTTAGCAGGGCAGCAGGCTGGTAGAGCTGGCAGGATGAACAGAATGCAAGAGGCCAAAGGGCAGAGATATTTCCATTAAATTGGAAATGGACAATGCAGTACAATATATTTCCATTAAATCAGCAGGTGGGAGGAGTTGACAGGGAGGCAGTTGCTTACCTAACAAATTTGGGGCTAGTAGAGACCAAACCAGGAGTGGCTTGAATCAGACTGGGTTCTTAGCTAATGACAGGTGGGATTCAGTTAATAATGGCAACCAGGACTTTAAGGATTGCTGTTGCTAAACAATATGGTCACTTGACATCACACTTTACAACCGCATCACTTAGCAACAAAAATTCCGACCCCAATTACCATCATAACTCAAGGACTACCTGCAGCTGAAACCAACACTATTGAAAGTATAGGCCACTCCATCTCTTTCTATTTTCACTTTACCACAGCCATATAATAATTAATACATTATCTTTTGTTTTTAAGCTTCTCACCTCCTTCATTTTGGGGAGATTTTCCTCAGTTTTTCTTCCTATAGATTTATTCTCTCTTCCTTCATATATTGGATCTGTAGTTCAATTCTCGCTCATTCTTTCTACATGACCAAACTATCTCAAGTTAGCTTTTTGTATTGATTACTCATTTTTGTATTTAGTCTACATTCTTTTACCATCCATTCATTCTTCCCCCATCTCTTCTTGTTGTATGACAAACACTTCTTAAGTGTTTGTTAAGTGTTTCTTAAGCACTGATTGCATGTCACAAGTGGTCAGAAGTGTGCTCTATGAACAATTCACACTTATTTTACAGCAATTATAGCAAAAAAAATTAATTATAGCAATTATAGCAAACATTTTAAAACTTCTGCAGCCCTCTGCCAGCGAAAATGGAGCTCACACCCCACCTCAGGCTCTGTTTTCACTAGCGGAGGGCTAAAGGAGGCCATCATGGTCAAAAACAGAGCCTGGAAGGGCCGTACGCAGCCCTCCTGAGCTCCATTTTTGCTGGCAGAAGTACCACGGGCTGGTCCTTCATTGTTTCCAGGGTGGCCCCGCAGGCCAGATCTAAGCACCTCGTGGGCTGGATCCAGCCCGTGGGCCTACCGTTTGACACCCCTGGTCCAGATAATTATTAAAAAGTCAGTACAAAAATGTTTAAGTGTCAATATTATTTATAACATGGAAAAGTATAAGCAAATGTCTTACCAATATTATTGAAACCATAAGATTCTCTTGCTTTTGCTTCTGTATATTTTGTAGTTGTCCACCTTCCATACCTATTCGGATCTACTTCAATTAGATCAAAAGGAGGCTCTCCACTGAGTATCCAGTCACTAAGATACTTTCCTATCCCACCGGCATGAATGATTCCATACCTGGTAGGGAAGAGGAAAGAGGGAAAATACTTAATTTACTACAGTAATATATTCCATCAAACATTTCAACAAAGGCTATGTAAACTTGCATTCTACTTGTTTTACTGGAATTCCATTTATTTTACCTCCCTAATTTGTTAGTGCAAAGCATAGCAAGGGAGAGGAAGTCAGCTCCAGTAGAAGGATTAGATTTGAATATCTGTGTGTAATTCCCAAATAAGGCATTGATTCAAATCTACTTGACACAGGATGAAATCTCCTACAAAGAAACTTCTGCATAGGAAACAGCATTAGTTTAGTTTTAGTTTGTGATACAAAATTAAGTATCTATGATACCATGTGCTCATGTCATAGGAAGCTGCAGTTAACTGTATTTCCCTACTGTATATACACATGGTAAATAGACACTTCCATATATATAACATGCTGATACCTGCAGCTTCCTCCAAAGAAGTACCCTCTGTGTAGGAAATACATCTGGCATGGAGCAATCTTCACGGGACAGTCCCTTCTCATTTACTATCTATCTCTTTGTTTAGCTGATCACCTGTAAAATTGGGAAATCAGTGATCTGCTCTGTAAAGGTAAATTAATTATAAAAATTGATTCATAACCTAATGTTAAATTATATTTTCATAGAATAATTGCAACAAATGAGGTTCAAATCACATTAAATATACCTATTTATAGCTAAAATTTGTACCTATAATGTTAGTTTATAAGATGCCAATGGATTATTGCCTTGTAATAATTAATACTTTATTCATTTAATTTTGTTTAAAGGTGGACAATCACATACAAGTCCTTACCAGATTGTTAATAAAATCAATAGGAGAGATAATATTGACTCCTACTGAAACAATATAAATTAAACTACTACAGAATAAATCTCTGAGATCCAAAATCTTTGATAATGTCACCAGCAATGTTTCATTTTGTTCAGATCACAAAAGGAAAATATTTGACATTAATTTCAAAAGGTAAAGGTTTTCCCTGTCCAGACATGTCCGATTCTAGGGGGCAGCTTTCATCTCCATTTCTTACCCAAGGGAGCCAGCATTGTCTTAAGATATTTCCGTGGTCATGTGACCAGCATGATTGTACACCAAGGTGCACTGAACACTGTTACCTTCCCACTGAAGTGGTACCTATTTATCTACTCACATTTGCATGTTTTAGAACTGCTAGGTGGACAGGAGCTGGTGCAAGTAACAGGAGCTCACCCTCTTGTGCAGCACTCAGGTCTTGAACCCGAGCTGTCAGTTTTCCAGCTGACAAGCTCAGTGTCTTTAACTGCTGAGCCATCAGGCCTCCTATTATTTGTAAATTAGTGTAAATGTAATACTAATTAAATTTGAAATTATTAATTTTTCTACCTTTAATTTGTCTGGAATCAAATAATCTTGGAAGATATTTTTTACCATTTTTATTTATAATCACTATATGCTAAGATTGACTTTGAAGTGAGTGTCTGAGTATTAATCTACTTATTAAGAAGAATAGATTCATTAAAAAAAAACAATCAGCACCATAGAATGCTAGCTGTAATGCCAAAAAATGACTTTATACCATACATAAAGTCATCATTTGGAATTAAATAAATTCAAATTATTTAATCCGAAATGAAGGATTTTTATTTTTTTAGAACTTTTTTAAATGAGCTTTTTAGTCCTCTGATTAATGACTTTGAACTGTGGTGCTGGCTACATTATATGTATACCATGGACTGCCAGAGCAACCAACAGAGAGGTGCTGACTCGTATAAAATCAGACACATCACTAGAAACCAAAATTACAAGTCTACATCTGTTTTACTTTGGCCAAGTCATGTGTGCAAATTTATTGAAGAACTCAATGAAACTAGGAATGGTTAGTGGAACAAGAAGGGGCAAGCAAGAAACAGGCTGGTTTGATAACATCAAAACTGATACAATAATGCACATCCAACAACTGAAGGAAGCTGCGCTTGACGGAGTAGCATAAAGAACACTTGTCTATAAAGTGGCCAAGAATCAGACACATCTGAATGATTAAAACAATAAAGTCCTCTGATACTAGAGATACATTGCATTTTCTTTCAACAAACAAATAAAGATTTTTAATAACTCTCAGTGAATGCTCTCTCAATTTGATGGTTTTTAATTTTTAATGTCCTAATCACAATTTCATATCATAACCTACAGCAAGTCTTCAAACTCCTTTTCTGAAAAAAGGAAAACTAGGCACAGATACCTGAGATTTATATTTTATTTCTATTTTATTTTTGCAGTAAAGATTTCACAATCGATCTCACAATTTCACAGTAATTTCACAAACTTTTTTCAGTAATGACCAATACCTTAAAGAATCAACTTACTTACCCAAAACCAATGGCCACCCAGTAATTATGAACGCTCTGATGTGGTCCCACCATTGGCAGAATATCTGGTGAATATGTTATAGGACCTGCAACTACATTGATAATATCTGCTTCTCTCAGGACAGGGACCATTTCCATAGCAGCCTCGACATGATCAATTATTCGATCTAAATCAGATTCAAAAAGCTCCTTTCCAAAGCCTTAAAAAAAAGTTTGATACATTTTGTTTGTATTGTCTTCCCACTTTAATATATTTTCTATTTTATACAGAGCAAGCAAATGTTCCTGTTCTCAATAAGTCTCCAATGTTATAATATTGGACATGTAAGCAAAAAATATACATTTGGTTATAAATATAAATATGGAAGAGTACAACAAGGAAGCAATGACCAGCATACATTCATAAGCAAGATTGCCAAAAACTCTTTTTTGTTTTCATAGATATATGTATATAATGTAAAAATCCAATTAACAGGTCTGAGCACCTAGCATATATCAATGAAGTTTATTTTTCCCAAGCAAAATTACCTGGTGGGACTCCATCTTCTACCCAAGATTTCTGCAGTTTCATTTTTTCTTGTCCTTCATATGGCCCTAATAAAAGCCCGTCTCTTTCTTGTCTTAAATAATATGAACCTTCTAAATCACGAAGAACAGCCAATTCCTTCTTCAGGACTTTCACTTCTGGGATAGTTCCAGTAACAATATATTGGTGGTGAACAGGTATAAGTGGATGATTCAGTCCAATCATTCTACCTATTTCTCGGGCCCAGAAACCTAAAAGCATAATGTACAAAAATATAAATATTAGAATGACATGATTCTGGCCAACAAAGTACAATTTTAAGTATAATATTTAAAAAGTAGAATTCAATGTTTTTAAATACGACAGTGGTTCAAGGAAACCACAACCAAAATCTTTATGCCTGGGCTGCAGCGGTCTATTATAATGTATCCAACTAATACTAAAAAAAAGTCAAAGGAAGGAAAGCCCAAATATAAACAGGATAACTTCAGGTTTATTTACATACTAGCTCTATACCTGTGCTTCGCTACGAAACTATGTGATCGGGCTTAGTTTTTGGGGAGGAAAATAAGGGGGGGAAATTGTGCCTCTGCCTACCAGCATCCATCGGTATTCATCTGGCTAGTGTCCTGTCAGTGTGTGAGAGTTGAGGGCTGTTTGGAAACTGAAAAATGGAAACTGAAACAATATTTGCTGTGTGAGCAAGGAGACAGCAAGGAGGCTGGGTGTGGCTTAGCTCAACTGTTCTGTACTAAAGCTGGTTGCTGCTGTGAAACTAAAACTGAAACTCCTCTCCTCTGCTTGTGTTTTGCATTTGGAACAGATTTCTTTTCAGGTGGGGAGTGAGAGTAGAACTCCTTAGCATCAGAATGTGCTAATAATATACAAAATACTAATACTCTGATGGTCATTTCAAAAAATCCTTTCTTAGTGAGCACTTAGAAGCCAAGAGGAACATATGTGCCAAATTTCAAGTTTGTAGGCTTTACAGTTCTGGAAATGGTATTTTGTGGTATAGATGCAGTCTTTATATCCTGCCTTTATTATTTTTATAAATAACAAAAGGCAGTGAACACACACAATGCTCTTTCTTTCTCCTCTTTTTCCCATAACAACAATCCTGTGAGGTGAGTTGGGTTGAGAGAGAGTGACTGTCCGAAGGTCACCCAACCAGCTTTCATGCCTAAGGAACGACTAGAACTCATTGACTCCTGGTTTCTAAGCAAGCACCTGAAGCAAACCAAACTGGCTTTCTGTTCAATGTGTTGCTTGGTTTTTATTATTAAACAGTAATAAAATCAGGGCAATGATTTCATTAAACACATGAATATCCTTAAGCCAAAATTGGAAAGCCAAAATGGTAAAATTAAAAGGACTTCCTTGCAGATAGATAGAAAGATGATAGATTAGATGATAGACAGACAGATCCATCCAGGTTTCCATACCAACCTAGTTCTACCAAGTGAGCAGGGAGAGACCCGATAATGCTTTTTGACTGCAGACCCTGTATTTTGGAATAGCTTTCTCCTGAGGCCAGATTAGCATCCCTGGTAGTAGCCTTTTAAAAACTGGTAAAAAATCAGAAGTGTTCTGCAGTGCATTTGAAGACTAAGGAAAAGTTACCACTTTTATTTACTGGTTGTTATTTTTCTTTCTTTTGTACTGTGTTTCTTTGTAATGTATCCAGATAATACCATTAATGTGTTTTATAAGTTTACACTTAATGAATGTAATCTGTTAGTTGTAACCTAATTTACAATGGTATATAAATACAAGAACCAAAGTAAACAAATAATGCCCCCATTCCAGCTTTCCCAATGTCCCTTTGCTATGTACAGTTGCATATGCACTGTATAAAATTCAGCTGGATAATCTGGAAAGTCTTCCTATAAAGGGTATAACAAACTTTCTAAGAAGGTATCTGTAAAATTCACAGTGAAGCAAGATATACCCAACTATTCTGACTGGCCCTGAGCAACAACAGTAGGTTTTCCTAAGTAAGGAATTTTAGTAAATCACCCTTTTAACAGAGCAAGATGTTGAAGTGAATCTGAGATAGGTATCTACAGTGGTTGGGCAGTTCCAAGATATTTAGCCAGCTGCAAACTCAAATTCATTTTATAGTTCAAAGTCCAGGGCTTGCTACTTTGACAGTACCTTTGTTGATTGTAATCCACAGACAGCATAAACCTTGTGGAAAAAGCATAAGATTGCAGTTTTTCCAATAAGGTCATATTCCAGGCTAAATGAAATTTATCATGAATTATGAGAATCAGACTGGCTGTACAAAAGTTAAACTTTAGTCAGAGATTAAAGATCACCAGACAAACACAAGTTTCCAACTCAGACAAATGATCTTCTAGACATGAAGCACATGTAGGAATATGAAACACTATCTTATAGAAGTTAGATTGCACTATTTCTAGAGGAGAATACAGTTGGTTCTCTACTTACGACCACAGTTGAGCCCAAAATTTCTGTGGTTAAAGCAAAACAGTTGTTAAATGACCAAAACAGTTGATTTATGACCTTTTTTGTTTTTTGCAATTGTTAAGTTAGTAACACAGTTGGAAAATGAATCCAGCTTCCCTATTGACTTTGCTTGTCAGGTTGCAAAAGTTGATCACATGATCCCACATGATGAAATGCAACCATCATAAAAATGAATCAGTTGCCAAGCATCTGAACTTTGATCACATGACTACGAAGATGTTTCTGTCTGTCTCCTTTCTTCCTTCCCTCCTTCCTTCCTTCCTTCTTTCCTTCCTTCCTTCCTTTCTTCCTTATGTGGAACAGTCATAAATCATTTTTGTAACTTCGAATAGTTGTACAAATGGTTGTAAGTTGGGGACTACCTGTAATTGGGGTATAGTCCGAATTGAATTGTGTATAGAAGTTAAGCCAATCATCTAGGTTCAAATAGTTTAACACAGCAGACACAAAATTACTTCCTTTTAAGAGGAAGGAAGGAAGGAAGGAAGGAAGGAAGGAGACATGCAGAAAGAGAAAGACAGACAGAAAGAAAAAAAGAAAGAAAAAGAAAGGTCTACCATGCACCTCTATGCTACTCATGGTATATTTTCACTGGAACCTCTTTCTACCTAAGCCTTAGTGCAACACCCAGATATTTAAAGCCATTAAACGTCTTGGATTAATCTTGAAACTTTTTGCACACATATACTTAAATAGAAAGAATTTTGTTTAAACAGATATGGATTCTATTCCAAAGCTATTTTTTATGACGACCAAGTCATGAAACAAAGATTGGAAACAAAGCAAAGGTTAAACTTCTCATTCTTTCTAACCCCTTCCTTCTTATGTGGAAGTGAGCCTTTCTACTTGCCATTTTATTACCAAGAATTTACCACTATCTTCAAATTAAAGAGTTGCCTTCCAACAACAAAAAACACAAGTTTGCAAATGGCCTGAATAGTAACACAGCACATAATTTGGGGTGTTAAATAGCGAACCACAAAGTGGACAAGGGAAAATATTTGTGAGAAATATTTATTGTGTTTTTTGCTTTAAAAGGCCATTGGACTCCATAAAAGTTGTGACAATAATAGAAGTAATGATGTAACCATGAAACAGCAGCTAGGCAAGTTGCTGAACAGTCTGAATTATGCTTTGGGCATTGTGTAATGTATGCTCTGAAATTGAGCAAATGAATGAGACCTAAAGGTAAGCTGTTCTCTACAAAATCCACTCTGAACTTACCACACTAAGCCTGGCATGAAAAAACAGCAAATTATTTGTTTTGAGGAGGAGGATATGGAACAAAGGAAGAAGATTGGCTCCAACAGTTTTAGGACACTACATAGTTTTGTTTGCCTAGAACATTCTCAAGGCAGTAATCAATACTGTATTAGCTCGAAATATTCTTTTGGCTAAACATTGAATCAAGGGATACTTCAGTTATTAACTTAATGAGAGAATGAGAAAAACCTGCATAGACCTATCAATACCTGCCTTTTCTTTAGGGATTGTTTTCTTCTTTCTCATCTCCATATTTTGCTGTTGCTTTCCCAGATATTTCTTGTCTGTGCTTAGAGGTAAGCCAGATCAAGAAACAAGAGGATGAAGGAATTCTAGAAAAGCTCCTTTATTGTTGTGGGGCAGTGTTTCTCAACCTCAGCAATTATAAGATGTGTGAATTTCAACTTCCAGAATTCCCCAGCCAGCATGAAAGTTAAGAAACACTCTTGAAGGGTATGGTCAAAGAATCTTGAAAGTCCGTCACAGTTCGCTTTGCCTCATCTTATACCAAATAAAATCAAGGCAGGGCTTTTTAAAGTCTTTTTTCAAATTTCTTTTTTTCAGCACTAAATAATATTTTCTCAAAGTACTTTCTTAATGGGTTGCTCATTTGTACCTTATTCCCAACGCTAAGTCAAAATTTCAACCTGGGATATCACTCCCCTCAAAGTCTGCATGGCTGTGACCCTGTTGCCCTTCAAGAAAAGGGCTGGCTGGGCCAGGGGCATACAGGAACTCATTTTGGAACTCAAATTACATTTTGGGTGTTATTCTATGCGCTGATCTTTGTTTTTTCCTGTACTTTTATTATTACATTTTGTTTTTAACTATTCTGTACACTGCTTCAACATAAGAACATAAATATTTTTACATAAAGATTAAATGGCATTACAAATCAAATAAGGAAACTTCCCATGTTATGGATCCCATTTTTTAAAACCATTGCCACTATTAAAAGTTTTCACATTAATAAATAAAAAGGATAGCATTACAGAATTTTACTGTACATAGGGGCAGCTTGACTAGATGCCTCTACCCCACTTCTTTCCCACTTGGAAAGAAAATGATATATGCAGTAATTGAGAGTTTGGTGCCAGTTCTCTAATTTGGTGCCAGTTCTCATGAACTGATCCACAGGATAAGAGAATCTGTTCCCAACTTGCTTCCTTCTTTGCCAAGGGTAGTAGAAGCAGAGAAGGCAGGTATGCCAGGGAAACGGTTATTGTGATGCCCTTTTTCTTACCCATGGATCACTCTACAGACAATGTAGGCCATGTGTGGAGATTGCTTTAGATGATGCAGCCAGGGTTGGCAATCTGCTTTGCTTGGCTTGGTCTGGCAGGTCTGCTACATAACTATCAAAAATTACTATGAAACCTGGACTTCCGGTTTGAGCTTCTTCAGTGACAGACTGAAGCCTCGTCTCTGCGAGGCTTCGATCCATGCTCACCGCTGGAGCACCCCGAGCCGGCTGGTTTCGGGGCTAAGCCACCCCGTAGAGATGGTGAAGAGGGGGGAGATTGCCTGCAGGGTTGAGGAGAGCCGCATGTCTCCTCCCCAGCTGGCCATTACTCCCTTTCCCGAAGGCGGTTGCAGCGGTGGTCAGAAATGGCCACCACAAAGAAGAACTCAACCGGAAAAGAATGTGCAGGAGGAAGATAAGAAGAGAAAGTTTAGGTTGACCGGGTCAAACAGCAAAGGCAACAAATAAGGTACCCTGGAATTGAAACTATCAAAAAACAATAACATTGTTCCCTAAGAAGATTTTTAAGCTGTGAAGGAGAGAGAAAAGGGAAAATTTTTTCGTTTTTTCCTTTTCCTATACTGACAGCTAAGAGACTTAAGCAAGAAATTGGGAAAAATCCACTTTGACATCAATAGGCATTTAATGCTGAAAATAAAAAGTCAAAGGGATAACAAAGATTTCTCGATAATTAAAAGCTTTTGAAAACAGGAAAGGAGAGAAAAAGAATAAAAGGGTAGGATCTGGAAGGGAGGAGACTGCCTGGAATTAAAAAAGAACTTACAGCAAAATCTCAAAAAGACTTCCAAAAGATACATTCTAACTGAAATATCGCAACAAAAACCCCAGGAAGAGAAAGTCGAAAAAGAAATAAGAAGATATAACTCGGGACTATCTGGATTACTTGATGATTTCTGGATTCTTGGTTATTGTTTTGAATGACTAAAATCAATCGGGTGGTTGTTTAAAACTGTTTAAAATGGCTCCACTTTTAGAAGAACTGAAAATGGAACTTAAAAAGTACAAAGAAGATGCACAAGAAGGGAGAGGTTCTTTTGGCTTCGTATTTCAGTTTTTAGAAATGGAGATTTGGAATTATGAGAAACAACAAGAAATGCCTGCAGAAGAAGAAGATTGCGACAAAGAAGAAGCCATCTTTAATGAACAAGTAATCTTAGATGGGGGGAAAAAAAGGAAAGGGGAGAAAGAGAATGGAAAGTTTAAGATTGGGAAAAACAACTCCCCCCCAAAAAATAGAGTGAAAAATAAGTATAAAATCAGAAAGCAACAGAAGAGGGAAATGCAGAAGAGAGAATTAGAACTAGAGAGACAAGGGGCTAAAAAGGGTAGGGAGAAGAAGAGAGGGAAGAAAGAAAGGAAAAAAAGTTATAAAGGACAGAAGCAAAATATAGAGAAACAGGGCCTATTTAGAGATAATGGGTGAAAACTTAAGGGAAAAAGGGATTCTGCAAAGGTACATAAGATAGTATGGTTATATTAGAAGCAGAAATATTTTAGAAAATATGAAACAATGTATGATTAAAATGTCTGATAAAATAGCTATCGTAATTCAGTGGAATGCTTGTCAATAAATAAATGTAACAAAAGGTATATTTAATGATTTATAAAACATGTGAAGAGAAATAAGGGAAAAATTAATTATGGAGATTATATGTGTTTTTAAGGAAGTATGATATTTAATTGAAAAGAAGTGTTAAAGATGTTAAGATTTTAATGATTATTAATGATAGAACTGAACTGGAATGGAATGAGGGTTTATAATTACATATATTTACAATCTTTCTTTTTTTTAAAGAATATAGTGTGTATTATAAAAATGTACCAAGCAGAATTCGATTGGAAGTTATATATTATGTATTATATTGAAGGTCATAACCTTAAGGTATATATTGAAGTTTAAATAAGAGTTGAATGGATGTAATTTAAAGATATAAAGGTGTCATACTCCAATTAGTAACTACAGGAGAAAATTTGTTTAATGAGAAAAGATAATATAAAATTGAAACAGAACAGACAAAAGTATCAATATAATGATTTGAATTGAGATGAGATAATCAAAATAAACTTGAGAAATTTTATTTCTTTTTTTTCCCCTAGTGTTTCCTTAGTAATCCAATTATATCCAGAAATAACTTCAAGTCTCAATTCTCAGTTCTCAGTTCAGTCTGGTACCCCTGCCACTTTACTCCGCTCTCCCTGTCACAATGTCTGCCTCCACGAATTGCACTGTCACTCCTCTGATCACTTTCAAAAATTTCAAAGTTTCACAGTTCTTCTCCGGTATAAAGTACTCTCCGCAGTATATTCATGTGACTGGAAATACAAAACTTTCCTCATCAATAGTCACTCTTCTTTCCTTTCCACTTTCCTTTGTAAAAGCAATTTTCCACTTTATCCGGAGCTATGAGTAAACAGCTCAGTCTTGCCGCCACTTTCCACTTTCCCCCTTCAGCTCTGGCACTTCACACATGTACCAATTACCTTTCAGATTTATCTATTAGTTACAATCCAACACCGATTCTTTTTGACCTCTTTCCCAGACTCCAAATTCGATCTTGTCTCTCTGCTTCCTTCTCAAAGTTGTTCTGTCGCATCTTCGGGCCAGCCTAGCTGGCTGACTTCTTTTGCCCTGTGCTTCGGGCTCCCTTCTTCACCTCCGGGATTGCACTTCCCGTTTCGGCTCCAAGAGTTTTTCCTTACTTGAGTGATCCCACCAGGATCTAACTTCGCCTCGAAAGGCTGCCCACGAGCAAAACCCCTGATGTAGGAGAGCGGATCAAGATTCTCCTACCTCGGAAGTCCTGCAGCAATTGGATCTTGACCATGAGCCTGCCAATTGTCAGCCAGCATACACATCACACAAGCCACTGCTCTCCTTTTTTTGATGGATAAATTGACATTTCAATCTACACGTGTAACAAAATCATTTCTCAAACACCGGCTCTTCAAAAACGTTTATCCATTGTCTGCATCTCATTTGTATGGTTCCAGCAGATCTTTAGATAACATCCAAGTAATACAGAAGCTTTCTTTGTTGCCAGCTAATGGTTATTATGTCAACTGGTTAATAATCATTTGATAACATTTTGCAGATGTAGCCAAGAGCACTCCACTGCATAATAACATGTGTCACACACCCTCAAGCCCCAAGAATGTGCTATTGTCTGTTCTCACAATACCTACAGTACTGAGCAGTCATGCAACTCAATTCTTTCCTGTCATCTAGCTCTTCCTGGCTGATAGGAGAAAAGTATAGGAAAAATGACTGTATGGATGAGCCTTCAGTTAGATCTATACTTTGGAAATCTGGCATTGTATCTTCATCCTATATATTTGTGCGCAATTTAGATCCACTGATTTATGTAATGAAGCTAAGGATAAATTAACTTAGATTCTCTATTATTGTCATCATTTAAACTTAAAAGGTGAATAATGAAATATTTTTATAAATAGCAGAGCAAAAAATTCCATGAGATCATGAAATGTGAAGTGAAAAGCAAATTATTACTTTATTTTGTAATGTATTTCCTAAAACATTAATAGTTAGATATGTAAGTTACATCTTCCTGCCCAGATTGAATTTTCTTATACCTATAGTTAAACTATAAAGGCAAGAAAGTATAATTCATCACTTACCAGCTGTATTCACAATTCTGTTTGCTTTAATTGTTCCATGTGGAGTTTCAACTTCCCATGTTCCGTCTAGTCTACATTTTAAATTAGTTACTTGAACTGGATAATTTAAATGAGCTCCATATTTCCTAGCTCCTGCAGCCAATGCCATAGTAAGTGAATAAGGATCTATATGACCATCTCCTGGATTGTACAGACCAGCTAAAACCTGTATCAAACAGAATTAATTTACTTTACTTATATTAGTTTTACTTTTTGTCCCTGGTTTCACAGCCAGTAGAAAGTAGGAAAGGTGTGAATACAAAACTTGGCAGCAATATATAACTTGTAGAAATTCAAAATCTTTCCATATGGAATAAAAAAAGCAACTACTTCATGTTAATTTGTTTTAATGTTAAATTAGGAATTGTCCACTTTTATCTATCTTATTCTATTATTGTTAGCCTGCTTGTTTTACTTATCAGACACCCATGTATGTCATAAACAATAGATTGCAAACAAAAGTTGACTTTCACAGGATTTTCAAGTTCTTCGATAAATATTAGTATTTAAGACTTATTTCTGCCTCTGCACTAGTATAGGCTACAAAACAAATTAATATATTTGTATATGTAGCTTACAGATGACATGATCTCCTTCTCCCACTCCAAGCTAAGCTTCAATAGTTTAAGTCTGATCCAAGAAATGCACAGCCATACTCTAAACAACTGAGAATTAGGATAAAATTAAACTTTACTTGTATTTAAATTACTTAAAATTGATTATAGTTAAGACAAATATTCTCCAGTAATGTATTTAATAATTTTCCCTTTCTCAAAAACCCCGTTTGCTAACAAGTATTGGAGATGTCTCATCCATGTGCAGATACAATGAGCTCAATTTTGGAAGCAGAAAAAGGATGTATTTTTTAAATTGGGTCCTTGAAACAATGGCTTCCAATTGCTTTATTAAGACTGATTCTATTCTTGCATAGCTCATTATTGTTCATTTCTTCTTTCGAATAGAATTCTTTATTAGCCAAGTATGATTGGACACATATGGAATTTGTCTCCAATGCATAAGCTCTCAGTGTACCTACAAAGTGATATGCCATAGATCATAAATCATAAGATACAATCATAATCATAAGATACAAACAACAAGTGATAAATCATGAGATACCAGTAGGAAAAGTGTACATTCTTTAGTGCACATTCTTTTCATCATTGGCAAAACCTTCAGTGAAAACTCTGCTGATAAAAACATTTAAAAATAATTTTACATCTAAGGCATGTTCCTTGTATTTCTTAAATATTTTACAGGTATTGTAAATAAATATTATTCATATACCTTTTCCATGTTTAATAACGGAAATAATTCTTGCACTTTTTCTGGATCAATAAGATATTGCTCTGTGGGGTGCCAACCTGCTCGAGTCATTTGATATTTCAATTCATCCACTCTTGTTGGAGTTGACGCAATTCTAACACTCCCTGGGCAATGAAACCCCACAGCCTGAGAGAGAAAAAACAAAACAGTAACAACCCATCAGCTTTCAAAATCAAGCATTCTTGAGCACTTATATATAATTCAATAAAGTTCAAAATAATTATAATAAAATATATCTTGAACTAGGCTCCTCCTCCTCCTATTAAATAAAATAGTTACTAATATTAGAAATCTTAGAAAAGAAAAACTAGAAAAACTACATATTTTATATTTTAATATGTCCTATATCTGAACGATCTTATTATGAACTATAGGAATATATTTTTCCATTTATTTAAAAAAACATTTCCATTGGTTTGATGTCTTGCTCAAAATGTATCTGAAGGAGGCTTCAAAAAAAATTAAATCACATTTTTATATTTATGATGCTTTAGAATTTATTCTAAACAGTATTTCTGAACTTATTTTATAATTGCCAGTTAGCAGATGATGTGTTGTCAGGATTTTTTTTTACTAAGCATAGTAAAAAATATACTAATATGCTATATACTAATATAATGTACTATACACTAAGCATTGATTCCATAATCTTGTCTCCCTAACTAATGAATATGAAAAAGCACCACGGAAAATGTTCCCTCATAATAAATTCAGTTTAACTAAAGTATGGGAAATCAAAATCTGAAGACTACTAGCAAGATGACTGGGCTGAAGTAATAAAGTGGCATCCCATTCAGGAGAATTACACCAAAACCTTCCATCCTTTGTGGAGAAAAATTGAAAGCATTTTTCCATCAACTTTATTGAGCATGATTCAAAATATATATACGGAAGAAAAATAAATAAATTATCCCTGATTTCCATAAAGGATACAATATAGCAGGGGTGTCAAACTTGCAATGACACGTCCTCACGTGACGTATCGCAACTAAACCGGGGGTGGGGGTGGCCAGCGCATCCGGCCTTGAGTTTGACACACCTGCAATAGAGAATTACTTTTTGATGACAAAGATCATCTGGTCTTTCATTTTGCTTCATCGATGTGGTTATTGCATCAACCTGAACTTTGCCTTTAAGCATTTTCATTGTATTTATTTGTTCTCCATCACAGATGTAAACAATATGCAGTACTTTCAAATTTTTAAAGTTATTAATCAAAGTGTGCCACAGATAAAAGGGTTCAACATGAATTCACATGTAATATACTATAATTTCCAGAGACACTGTAGATGAATAAGGATGCCAGGATATAATAAAACGATTAATATCTGCAGATACCTTTGAGGGATTAAAACGTATTAGTTATACAGTATACAAACATTCAAAACTACATATTAATGACGTATTTACTTAATATTTGTTTCATTAATTAAAAAATGCTGTTCTCATAGTTAAACAGTTCCAGCCAATCAAATCATTCTAAAATTGTGTATTTCACATAATTATTAATCAATTTTGGTAAATTAGGTATTATTACCTGTCCTGTCTCCTCCTCTAACTTTTCATAAAGCTTGATGCTGTAATGATGGATTTTCTTTAGATTTATTCCAGGATGGAAATATGTTGTCAAACCCGCCTTTAAAAAACAAAAAACAAATTTTTTTTCACAGCATTTATCATTTCATTTCCATTAACTTTTTCTTGGATAATCACATTTAAGGTTTTGCTTCAGTTTTTGTGTTCAACATATCACTACCATTCCCATTAAAATCTCTAATATATTTTTTCCAACATCCCCTCACTTCAGTTTATTCAAATGAATTCCTAAATTTTATATTTAATTTATTTTGCTACAGATTCTTCAGTTTACCCCCTTCACAAATATTTTTAATTTCTATCAAATTTGTTCTCAAGTCAAAAGTATCAATTGTGACAAAAACCTAGAACAATTAGCAGCTACAAATTGATATCATGAGGTAAGAATCATATAATTTCTAACAACTATAGCTATTGATAAGAATTCTGCAACCTTCTTAAAGCTTACAGAAAATAACCTTAAAGCAAATTATGGAAATTTCAAAATTTTTCAGGTTTAGTCCTACTTACTATACTTTATTTATTTACCTATCTAATCTAATTTATAGAACTGCCCATCAAGAGTAAGTGACTCTAGGTGACATACAATAAAACTAAAACAAACATCTAAAGTCCTTATCAGTGACAAATAGATTTTTAACAATTATTCTAGCTAATATTTTATATGCTTTTGTGATGCACATTTCATAGAAGAGTGAAAAATCCTGCATTATTCAGATCAAGTCACAGTTAATACTACAAGGCAACAATATGGTTCATTCTCTGCTTAAAAAATTCTGATTCTGTCCTTCAGTAAAATTTGCAAGTGGTAGACAATGGCTTACTTAGTTATTGTGTTCTACCCGTGTAGCTGCATGAATCCAACTTTGCAATGTTGCAAGAAACCCAAGTGGAAACCTACTCACTTTGTATATAAAAGGTTAGCTACACTAGTTAAAGGGATTGGCTCCCGCTAGAGAATGGAATACTGCATTAGACAAGAAAAAATGACAGATGCATCTTTTATTATGCAATCACCTTCTCATGTTGACAAGTACATATTAAGTGAGATCCAGGTGCTGTCCTGTTATTTCCAAACACTGGGATATCCAACACTACCAGATATTTCCAAGAGATAGCTTTTGGAACCTAAAACTAAGGCTTCCAATTTTGTCAGCCTTCCCCTCTGATCGGGCAAATTTGGAAAAGAGATTTAACAAAATACAAGACATGGTGAAAAGCTTTCTAGTGCTCAGATTTTTCTAAACATTGTCAGAGAACTCTTGGAAACTCTATGAGCTTCCTTTAGGAATTATCAAAAAAAGCCTGGTGTACTAAGGAAACAGATCAAACCATTAATCCCATTTCAGTTCCAGCAGAAATATTCAAGGACAGGATTTTTAATGATTAAACCGCACATCTTAATACATGCCTAAATCAATGTAGCAATCATACTTGCATATGTAAACAGTCTAACAATTGCAAAGTTAGTACTTTAAGATTTTCAGACTGAGGATATTATTTTTCTAGCTTCTAATAACGAAACAAACTAAATGTGATTTTCTTCTCATATTAGAAGAAAAATATTTGTTATAAAACTTATTAGAAACTAGTTATTCATGATTACTATATATATGAACATATATGATGACCACAAATGTTTTCCAACTTAGATATTATGGTACATTCTAGTTGTGTCCAAATTGGCATAATAAAATGACACATGATCTGGTATCTAGGATTACTCTCTGACTGCAAGCTACTGAAAACAACTTCTTTGTAACAAGTGATGACCCTTGGGTGAGCCAGGAACTCTTATGTGTTCCAGAGCATGATGTCTTGTGTACAAACTAAAATATAAATAGAATGTTTATCAGTGATTGCAACCTTTCTTTTCCTATTACATCAGAGTATTTTTCTCCTTAGACTGCAACCCTAAAAGTTCAGAAAACAAGATTGATGTATCTTTATTTAAATGCAGTAGCAGATCTTACCATTTTTACCTCTACATGTATTTGTTTCTTATTGTTGAAGCTCTGTACATCGGCTTCCAAAATATCATGTCCCACAAAACATAACTAATGTTACAGTTATTGAACATTCTGGGTTTCACATTACAGTAGTAATCCAGGAACATTCCCTTCAATCTGAGCATACAGTTGGTTGCCAGAACAGCTGCAAGTGGACAATTGGTTCTTTTACACTAGCATTAAGCATCAGTAATTAATGAGTTTCAGCTGGATGACATTCTACACTGGATTGCACAGTAATTTAAATGGCTCACAAAAATCCATTTCTAGTCTAAAATGAATTGTGACCTAAGCACACAAGGTTTTGTTCCATGTTTAAAACATTAGAAAATTCACTTACTGCATGCCAAGTAGATCCAGCAGTGAGTTCAGATTTTTCCAACAAAAGTACATCCTTCATGCCAGCCTTGGCCAAATGATAGGCAAGACTGACACCAACACAGCCACCTCCAATAATTACGGTTTCTGCTGTGTCTTTCCATTTTGTTTCTACAGAAGATGGCTTTTGTTCCCTGGGGGACAAATGAACAAATATAATGATGGATACTTATTCCTGCATACTTTACATAAAGTTACATATATCAACTGTTCTTTGTATACCTTTTATTAACCGTTAAATTGTAAGACATTAATAGAATTTTGAGCTACACAGATGAAAATGATAAACACTAACTGGCACAGTTTTAGATCGAACATCAGGATCAAAAACCAAAAATGGCAATGGGAATTAGTTCTTAATTTCTTTATTGTTGTTTACCTACAGACAGAATCTTGCTAGATTAAAGCAATTATCTGCATAACTATAGATAAACCCAGTGTGCTGCTGAAGAGGTGGGTGGGTGTCCGTCTTCGCCTCTTTCTGCCCATCAGACATTTTTGCCAGTGTCCTTTTGCGGAGATTCCAAAATGGGTAGATAGCATATCAATAGTTATTCTAGACTATGATTCCTGATCAACTGAACATTCATGCAACTTGAAAATTTCAACACTAATTCTGTGCATTGTTTAATGACATTTGTACATCTTTTATTGTGCCAACATGCTGTCTAATTATAATTTGCCAAAGAAGGTTCCAAAGTATAGTTTAATAATTCTTTTTTAATGGATTTTCTGTAATAAGAACAAAAATAGAAGAACGAGTACAAAAATGTTAAAAAATTACAAATGATAGACTACATAATATGTCTCCTATTTAAAAATAATATTTATAAGTTAAATCATGCACAAGAGGCAAAACCTAATCTGGAGGCATTCCATATGGAGCTATGTGAATGGCTCATCCATGTTCTGTTGGATTCAGAATAATAAATTATAGATAAGAAATGAAGGAGAAACATCTCATTTTCACCAACGTACCCAGATAGTCCTCGATTTACGACCACAATTGAGCCCAAAATTTATGTTGCTAAGCAAAACAGTTAAGTGAATTTTACTCCATTTTATGATCTTTATTGCTACACATTCTTGTTAAGTGAGTCACTGCAATTGTTAAATTAGTAACATAGTTAAATTCATCTGGTTTTCCCATTTACTTTGCTTGTCAGAAGATTGCAAAAGGTGATCACATGACCCTGGGATACTACAATTGTCATAAGTATGAACCAGTTGCCAAACACCTGAATTTTGAACATGTGACCATCGGGATGCTACAACAGTCTTAAGTGTGAAAAAAAGGTCATAATTCACTTTTTTTCAGTACTGTTGTAACTTCGAACAGTCACTAAATGAACACAACAGTCAAGGGCTACCTGTAATTATCCAAGAAGCCAATTGAGTTATTCTAAAATGCTGCAGAGTAGTTTACAAACAGACCGATGAACTGTGTTTGTTTGATGTTAAATATGCCAGAAATAGGTTTATGAATTGAATTTCCGTAACATTTAACCGTCTGTTAGTTTAATGCTTGCATTTGCACAATGTACTAAGTTTAATGTTTTAACTTTGCTTCTTTTTATTATTTACCCTGTTAGGCAACATTAGTTGACTTCTTGGTTAACTTATAATTTAATGTATTGAGCAATCCAAGAAAATAGATTACAGTACAGTAATTCCGTAACAAAGCTAGGTGTGCTGTGCAAGCACAGGGATAAAATTCAAGGTTTTTTCCAGTTATTTGTTGCACAATTATTCTGTCATTTAAGTGAATATCTAGATTTCATCATACTCAACTCATCAATCTATATTTTCTGCTTCTGTTTTTCTACAATAACAAAAATCCATTGAAAAATAATAGGTGCAATAACTGCAGTGTGTTTCTGACTGGCAGCATTAGCCACTTTTTTTTTTAAAGGATCCAACCAGGCAAGCAATAGGCATGAAATACAGTATATACACGCCTAAATAGTATGGGGTGAGCAATCCTGTCACTAGATCAGGGACAGCTTAGTAGTTCAACTTTGTGCTTGGCCACGAAGTCTCTTGAATGACTTTGATCCATGCACTACTCTATCTTGCTTTTTGTTTGAAAATTATTAATTAAAGAAGAATGCAGTAGTCCCCCCTCCCCTCCATTGGAGGAAGGGTAGAATAAAATGCAAATACATATTGGACTTGAGATTATTTGGACTCTGGGAAGAAGTAACACACATGCAACACCCGCCCCCCGTAATATTTAAGTTATTTTAATGTCCTGGAATATCTAGGAATGGGGATTTAAGAGGTGTGTACGGGCAAACTACAGGAACGGGGCGAGGTAGGTATTTGAGCAAACCACGCCGCAAACTACAATGTCTGTGCAGAAGCCAAAACTATCTTTGTAGATTACCCTCGCCCTTGTACTGTCTGAAAAAGAGACGCCAAAATACCCCACCAACCATACAAGGGAGAGCTGAAGCCGGACTCACCACCTGTCAGTGGTCGGGCTGCAAGCAAAACCTCGAGAAGGTACGAGAAAGGCGGGCTGTTTAGCTCGCAGTTTTACTGACAGCAATCTCCGCGTTCCCCGGAGCATAGCTTTCCCCTCGAAGACGCCAGTGGACGGCAAGGGGCACAAAGATCCCCCCGACCTCCCTTTCAAACCAAGCAAAAAACTTCGAGTTCCCTTAGTTGGCAGCCTAAGCGGAGAGGGGCCTGGAACCGCCCATCGCAGGCGATAGGTGGAATCAGCTTCTTTAGCGACCCTCCTGGGAGGGAGGAGACAGTGTCCGGATTGCGTCGTCCCGCGACACTCCTGGGACTCCGTTCAAGTGGTTGCAGAGGGGAATCGGGGGCGGCGGAGGGGAATAGGGCTATCTGAGGGGACGAAGAGAGGCTGGCTCGGGAAGCAGAAATGCAGCGGGAATCTTGGCATCGTCTGATATTTAGTCTGACAGCGGTATACACATACGCGAGCCCGATGCGTAGGTTACTGGCTCTGGTTAAAAAAATAATTCAACTTGGCTTTCCATGAAAGTTTGGAAAAAAGATTGCAGCCAAACAAGACCAACTAAATCTTCAGACTTTTTTTTTTTTTACTAGTGTAGAAATTAGTGCACATTCATAAAGTTATTCTAAGTCTACTAATAGGCGCACTGTTTTAAAATCCCGATAATGGTACATGTGGGCTGCTTAAGCAGGGTAACGGAGAAATAACTCTCTATCTCCACTAAAATGTACACACGTGTCTATGTATGTATGTTGGAAATCATAGCAGGTTACCTCACGGTCTTTCGGTGGGAAAAAGAAATGCCTTTCCCCCATCTGGCATCATCCGAAAGTTGGGAGTACGATTCCCAAGGCCCCGTGCATCGTGTGGGGACGAGGGGGAGGTAGTTGCGAATGATGGAAGCTGCTGTGCTCAAGGCACGTTCCAAAAATATTAGACTTGGAAAAGCCTGCTCCAAAACGGCCCTTCCATTTTTGCTTATTTTTAGATACACATTCTGCGTGTGCTTGTGCAAATGAGCGGCTTTACTCAGTCCTGCGAGAGGGACGCCTCGCAGTCGAGTTATGGCGGCAAGAGATCAGAATCAGAGATCACTACTGAACTCGCTGCCTCCGTAGCTAACCTTCAGGCCTCTCCCAATCCGCCCCGGGCTCCGAATCCGCCCACCTTAGACTCCAGCCTATAAAATACGAGGTCGGCGGGTTGTGCTTACCCTGCTTTGTTAAAGGAGAGTTGGGACCCGGTGGCGGACGAGGAGAAGTGCGGCCAGCGGGAATACTTCGTCATGGCACCTATTGGAGGGAGCTCTAAAGCAAAGAAGGTAAAAAGAACAAGTGGCCGTTCGGGACGCATTTCTCTATTCTCTTTTGCAGGGAACGAAATACAAGGAAAGGGCCCCTCTTGTTGGCGAGGTTGCCTATTAAAGTACCATTCCTCTCATTGGGAGGCTCTTGCAAACTTCTTGGAATTAGAAGAGTAGAAGCGATGGCGAGGAATGGTTAGAAGAGGAAAGTACCAACACGAGTTGAGAAAAAATGAATGCCAACTATCTTTTCTCACTTGGCTTTTTTACTCAAGTTTTACTGCTATGGTTAGATCCGTGGCGTAAAACAACCAGGGAACACAAACCTTGTTCTGATATTACTTATTCCGATTTTTTTTATTCTTTATTTTGTGATGCATACAATATTTTCTTGTATAACATTGATAGAAGTTAATGTGGGGTGATTTAATTGATGGCAGAAATAGCTGCCCAATTGTATTCCCTGCATTTGGGAAAAGATAGTTATACAACACTTTCCATAGTTCTAACTTATGCATCCACAGACATATAATGTAATGACATAGTAGCCCCATTCTGGGACCATCAGGATTCCGGATAAAGCTGGTTCAGTCAAGACTGAAAGCTGAGTCACAATTTATCACAAAATATACGAAGTACATGCAAAAATTGGATTTTTTATCCTTTTAGAGAGGAGATGCATTGCTTTAAAATTGCACACAACATGTAAATAAAAACTAATACTTTTCTATTATGAGTAGAACTTATAAAAAGAAAAGTTACACTGTCTGAGCTAAGGACAGAACTGACTCTGATAATAGATGATTAATATTTGTGAAGTTATAAATTTAAATGAAAGTCACTGAAGAAAACCTAGAAGGATTATTTGATATAATCAATGCTACTTTTTAATATTACGAAGAACCAAATTTTAAAGTGTTTTAGGAATCATCAGTAAAATTCATATAAGTTGAAAGTTAATAAAACCAGAGGGTTAACCAATTAGCATTAATTAAGAGATTCTTCATGAGAAATCCTGGTGCTTTACAAATTTTCCATGTGATTCTTACTTCATTAGAATAGTTAATTTAATCATATATAATTGAAATTATTTGATCAATTTTTGATTAATGTATTTCCATGGTGTTAGGGTGAGATCCAATTCATATTGTTTTCATTTGGAAATCAGAGTTTTATAAGTTTGATCTGATCAAGTAATCTGGAAAAAAAGCTAAAAAGTGTGTGTAGGGGGAAAGAAACATGCAAGAACAATTGAGTCTGATAGTAAACAACAAATTTCTGCAGTTATGAAAAGTTAACAGGACAGCTGTCATACCTTATGAGTATGATATGGAGGGCTAAATACTCTCAATGGTATTTTGCCATTTTTTTTTTTAGAATAATTGAATATAAAACTTTTTAGGAAAATATAACTTCAAAAAGTAGACCAGATACTTCTCTGACTGAAGGGTAGGAAAAACACCAAGAAGCAATTTCAGCCGACTAATGGTCATGGTAATTTTGCTCTTAGTAGATTTTATACTCCATTCCTAGCATCTTCAGGAAGAGTTGAAAAACACCTCTAGCTGAAATCCATTGCTGTAGAGCAGTGGCCTCCAAACTTTTGGGTACCAGGGACCAGTTCCATGGAGAGATGTTTTTCCATATACTGGAGGGGGTGTGGCTTTGCATGTTGCCTGTATGCCATGGATGAGGCTACGCTTGTTTGCGCAGAACCAGTTTCTGGCATGCCACGGCCCGGTGCTGGTCCACATACTAGAGTTGGGGATTCCTGCTGTAGTGTAGACATTCATTATCTGCATGTACCCTTGTCTGATTCAGTATATAGCTTTGAATAAATTCCTCTGTCTTTTTACATTTAGTTAAAGAAAATACAAGAAGTTAACACTTACCAGAGTTCCAGTAATCCTATTAGTCAAAGTTATTCTGTACCCACCCACTTTCTTTGGTTAAGAAGGCGATAGCACTTTAAACTACCATAGTTAGGATAAACTCTGAAAGCATGTAATCAGTTGTTTGCAGTCTGATTCCACTTCCTTTTATATCTAATTCCACCATTACATTTTTTCAGACGTGGTAATCATTTCTTATAGTCACACTGAACACTACAGCGGTTTTAAGTCCAGAAGAAATTTAAATTTTGACTGCATGTGTTGGCTGTTAAAGTCTTCTCTAAATATTCTGGAATTGTGTATTGCAAAATAGAGTACAAAGTTTACATTAAGAAGACAATTTTCCTATAACTCCTTTAGTTTTTGCTATAGAATAGTAGTAATTTACTCTTCCAAAAATGTTTTTGTACCCACACACTGAAGGGGATAAATAATGTATAAAGAGTATACAGTTGGCAACTATGCTCATAGCAGTTGATACCCAATAGGTGGCTGAAGCATAAAGAGAGATTTGAATGGATATGTTGGAAAGATATTAGCAGATATTTCCTATTTAACAAGCTTGTTCATAAAAATGCTAAATATGTTAGAATATTGAATGTTAATACTTAATAATTATTAGTATCTGATAACCTCTGCTTTGGTGATAATAATCCAAGGACTGGTTGGAGAGGAATATGAGTTTCTTTAGATTTTTATCCTGCCTTTTTTTAAACATACAACTCAAAGTGGCAATGCATCCTCTTCCTATTTTCCCTATTATAACAACTCTATGAGCCACAGTGGTGCAGTGGTTAGAATGCAGTACTGCAGGCTACTTCTGCTGTCTGCCGCCTGCAATTTGGCAGATCAAATCTCACCAGACTCAAGGTTGACTCAGCCTTCCATCCTTCCAAGATGGGTAAAATGAGGACCCAGATTGTTGGGGACAATATGCTGACTCTGAAATTGCTTAGAGTGGGCTCTAAAAGCACTGTGAAACAGTATATAAGTGTAAATGCGATTGCTATTGCTATGAGGTGCATTGGGCTGTGACTGGCTGAAAGTCACCCAGTTTGTTTTTCATGGCCAAGGTGGGACTAGAATTCACAGTCTCCTTGTTTCTAGGCAAACACCTAAACTGCTACACTAAATTGGCTTTCATCTTATAGTTACTACTGTATATGAATTAGTTTGTCTATATAGCAAATGTATACTATTGTTTGATAATACAGGTAGTCCTTGGCTTATGATTATACAGGTAATCCTGGAGGTATGACAGATCAATAATAATTGTTCAAACAAACCCCCACCCCAAAAGCTTTGTATTAGCCATCCAATCATTTGCCCTTAATGTAGAATTCTTACATTTGGGGAGCCACTGCTGCATGCCCACCTGTCTATTCCACCCCCCACATACTAGAGTAGGCCCAGTGCCCCAAAGTACTGGGCCTACTCTGCCTCCCCACAATACTCCAAACAGTCCTCTTCCACCGCTCAAAATTCATTGTTTACCTGCTGAAGAAGTGCAAAATTCAGGAGGCTGAGAAGGAGCCACATATTGTGAAACCTGAGCTAATACTGGACAAAATAACTTCATCGTCAGCAGATCCACATCAGGTTACAAAATTCAGGCTTTTCTATCCAGCACAAGGAGGAAACACTTTTGTATTTTGTGGAGTAACTCAGCAAAGCAGATTCTTTCAAATCTGCTTGCTTTGAAAAGTCAATCATAACTTCAAATAGTTGTTAAACGATGGCTACCTATACTTCAGTGCTACCATCAGGTTCACATTCTTTTTAAAGTTTACAGGAAACGTTATTGTCATTTTAGGGTATTTTAGAACGGCTAGATGCTGGAGAAATTGTGATTGGTGATGGAGGATTTGTCATTGCTCTTGAAAAGAGAGGTTATGTAAAAGCTGGACCTTGGACTCCAGAAGCTACAGTGGAAAACCCTGAAGCAGGTAATGTATATTTATGTATTCATCAAATTAAATTTGAGGG